AAGTAGTGTCTGATAGTGTTCTGATTAGAATCCCTCTCTATAACAGAACAGAACTACCCTATCTATAACAAGGAACTCCTTACAATTGTCCATTCTCTAGAGGAGTAGTGTTAATATCTTCTTAGTACTGTACAAAAGTTTAAGATTTAAAATAATCACCTTAATCTTTAGTACTTCTAAGTGTCTCAGAAGCTCAACTATTACTAGGCCTACTAGATGTTAGAACTGTAAAACTATAACTTTGTACTAACCTACAAACCTAGAACACAAATGACAAAAGCTGATTTACTCTTAAGACAAGTAAGTTATGAAAGGGGGGAGAATAATAACAAAAATCTTGTTCTCCTAGACAATTCCTATTTTGTGTCTAAGACAATCTGAGAGATCTGACTCAAATCTAAGGATGTTAACTTTGTTACTTGTATATAGTAAGCTCTAAGACACATACAGGACTAGGTTATAGTAAAGTAGCTAGAGAAGTAGGCTAGGGATTAGAAGGAGGATAAGGATGGACAGGTTTACTAGGAAGGCTAACTGTACATTCTAAAGGATTAGAAACTGTAGGAGGACATTGTCTAAGCTTATTATAACAATCTGACTGTAGAACATTTAGGCTAACACAAAACACAGGAACTCATTACTCAGAACTACTAGTAGTTAGGAATGTAGAGGGAAATCCTAAAGTATGTAACTAGTTACAATATGTACTAACAGACTAAGGCCTACTAGATAAGGGTTTAGACTCCTCTACATTTGTATTAGATCCTAGATTACTCTTAGGAAGAAGTCTTAATAGACCTGATTAGTAAGCTACCTAAGTCTTAGAGTTATAACACTATCTGTATAATTGTTAACTGATTCTCTAAGTAAGTCTACATAGTTCTGACCTAAACAGAACTCACTTCTAAAGACATAGTGTGTATCTATTAGAATCATGTCTTCTAGTTGTACAGACTCTCTCAGAAGCTCATTTATGATTATAGACTACAATTCAAGTTGAAATTCATACAGGACTTGTATACACTTCTTAGAATTTAAGGGAACCCTTCTACTACATATTACTTGTAGACTAATAGTTAAACTGAATAAGTCAATCAGAAGATCAAGCTCTATCTCTAAATGTTTATCAATCATTAGTAATCAGATTAGTCTAAATAGTTAGCTCTGACAGAATTTGTGTACAATAACTAGTAACACTCTATAATGGGACAGTCCTCATTCTTTCTCAATCATAAGAGACATTTGTATTAGAGGACAGTTCCAAACTGGAACAGTAGTTCTGAATCTATAACAGACTTTGTAGAACAAATGTATAAGACTAGGAAAGACACACAAGCTCTTTTAGAGAAGGTAGTATAGGTTATAAAATAGAACTATGATTGGAAGAGATCTATAGCTAAGGATTACTAGCCTAGTAACAAAGTTATACTAGAAGCTACTAATCTGACTACAGATTGTCTAATAAAGAAGTTAGACAACAAGTACTTTAAACCCTTTGTCATTAAAAAGAAGGTTAGTGCCTCTGTCTACAAACTCTAACTTCTAGTAACATAGAAGCACATACACTCAGTGTTCAATAAGGTTCTGTTGTCTTGGTACTACAATTCAGGTTTTCCTTCACAACAAAGACCTCTACTACCTCTACTAGAACTCATTAGTTCTGAACCAGAATATAAAGTAGAGTACATAGTAGATACTAAGCTAGTGTATAGAAAACTCAAGTTCCTTGTTTACTAGAAAGGGTACCTAGTTGAAGAGCACACTTGGGAACCTGTCAAGAACCTTACTCATACCTTTAAGACAATCTAAGACTTTTATTAGCTTCATCCTAGTACTCTACACAAACTCAGCCTTGTAGATTTCCAAGCCCTACTATTCTAACCTATACTTGAGCTACTAACTGAGTCTAATGTTTACTAATTAGGACAATTGGTTTTAGAGGGAGGGTGATGTTACAGTTCTCTACTCTTGTACCTTTAGTTCTAAGGGTTCTACAGCCTTCTGTACTAGAACTCAGGACTTCTGTCTCTTAGAGGTACTGTCTATAGACTATATGTATACTGACTCTTACTACTACCCCTCCTTACTTCATCATTCTATTCCTTTGACCACCCTTTCATTCTTTGTTCATTCTATAGTCTCTTACCCTTTGTCTATCCCTTCATTCTTTATACCTTTATCTTTAATCTTCCTTTCTTTTATTCTTTGTAGCTCATCATTCTTAGCAGCTTATATTCCCTGAGTACTCTTGTGTAGTTTAGTATATATAGGCATACAAGATCAGACTGGTCCAGTAGTCTTGATCTTGTCTACTCCAGGTATATTAGGAAAAAGTCAGATTTCTTGTAATTTCTTATAAACTTTGTAAAGTAACATATGTATTGTATATACATTATAAAGTAATTGTAAGGATTGTAATTGAATTACAATGTTTAAATAAGACATATTAATGTATATAAAGACTACATAAGTACTAGGGATGAATAAAATCTATTACATATATTATACTAACTTTGTATGACAACCTAAAGTGTTATGCCTGTATTATATTTAAATTATAATCTTAAAGAAAGAGTTATATTTATAATATAATAATGTAATAATTACTATTGTTGCCTTATAATTTATACAAAAGGTATATTAATGTATATTATACTTAGATTATTTATACAAGCAGTTTACAATTATTGTAAAAGGCATTTCATCTACTTGTAATAATTACATCAGTGTGTTTAGAAAGCTATATACATGTCATATTACTTTCAACTATATTACAAAGTAGATCAATAAGTTTATTTTATACCTAAATACAATAATTGAAATGTTCTATCAGTTGACGACTCATATTACAGTTGCTTATGTAATCAACTGCTGAAGATCGAGAGCATATAATGACGCATTTCTCTTCGTCACTCCTTTACCTCCTACCTTCACCGTCTCCCCAACCCTCTGCCCCCAACACTATGTCGTTGCCTCTGTTCTCTCTAGTCGAGTCCTCCGCTCGCAAGCGTCCTACCGGCAGGCACTCTGCCTGCAACAACATAGCAATAAACATCACTGCACTTGTCTCTCCAATCTGCCGCTGCGATGCCCGCGCTGGGCCTCAGATCTTGCGATGATGCCACCGAGCTGACTACACCGTCCTTCAGCGTAAAGTGTAAGCAGCCAGTCCACTCCATAATAGCCTGCACAATAGTTGCTCATCCCTCTCCTCCCAACTTTCTTGTCTCCCTTCCATCCCTCCCGCTCCTTGCTCCACGTCTTGTGTTGCCCCTCCTTCGTTGTCTTCCTTTTTTTACACTCGCCTTCCTGTTTGCATTTGCATTCGCGCATCCACATTGTTGACCAATGCTGAACGACTTCTTCAATAATTCCACACATTCGTGTACTTCTTCCTGCTCTGCAGCGCAAGCAACAATCGACGAGCACACGCTCGCGACAATGTCCCTGTACGACTACTCCCATCGTGCCACCCTCTCTCTCACCCGGTACGTGCTTCTTTCCCCACCCATTCAATGTTTGACATCACTTTCGATAGGCCACACTGCGTGCATTTGCATTCCTCTGTGCCAGGCATGACACTGTATTGAACGGAAGCAGTGACCCACCACTCACGCCGCCTGCACTGAGTCTGTCCATGACTTCCACATTGCCTTGTCTCTTCACGTCAGAACGTCCCAGAGATACACCATTGCGATCCATGGCCCAGCACACCACACCCCCCATTGCTTGCTTTAGCAAGAGCACGCAGTACACATGCACAGACACGGATTCACCTGTAGCTCAAATCAGCTCGCTCGACGCTCCAGATCTCAACCCAGTGCACTACCTGCCCTTCCTACACATTGTCATGGTGTGTCCCTCTCCTCACTTCAATTACCTGCACTTGCTAACAATTCTGTCCCTTAGGCAAAGACTGGTCTGATAAATATTCAAAGTATGATTCTCTATGACTGGACACTCCTTTCCTTTCCTTTCCTTCTCTGTTATTTATTTTTGTGTCTGCATGATTTTTTCACAAGTACAATATTATTAGAATGAAATGTAGTAGAAATAAATCAATGCAAGTGTATTAAAATGTTAATACTTAATTATAAGAGGAAAAAAAGAGAAATAAATGAACACCTGGATTGTAAAATATTATAACTATTTTAAAGCCTTGTAAAGCTCTTATAAAGTATAATAATGTTTAACAATATACATACTACTTTTAAAGCTTTGCATTAGATTGTATACATTATAAAACTATATTACTCTTGTTAAAATACAAAGTTCTTTTAATATCTTTTCATTTTAGGAGGTTGGATATAAGTTTGTTTACATATTGTCAACACTTATAAACCTTATTCATATTAATAATTTGTACATACCTTTTTGTATCTTACATAGCTTTTTATAATTTTCTCATTTTGAGAGGTTGGATATATGGTCTTTTATATTTTTTAGAAAATTTATATAATTTATATGTTTATAAGCTAATATAAGCCTTAAGACTTTTTCCTGATGTAGTCCTGTACTCTTAGGCTCACTCTATATACTCTACTCTTGTCTCACTCACTCACTCTGTCTGTTCTGCAAGTTCTGACTATGTTCCAGTGCTTGTGTTCTGTACTTCTGTTGTGTAGGATAGTTGTAGCCTGGGTCCCCTTGCTGAGCCTTCAGGTCCCCTCTATGCTGTCACTGACAAAGCTCTTATACACAATGTAGAAAATATATATAATTTATATGCATATAAGCTAATACAAAGTTTGAGATATTTTCCTGATGTTCAAGTTCTGTCAACGTGTGTATATGTGGGCTGAAGCATAACCCAGCTACAGTAAAGAGTCAATTACCTCGTACAAGTGATTATATAAATACTACGCATTGCATCACATTGTATAAGTAACTAAATACAACTTCATATTCGAATTCGAAAGAAAGAAGGGTCGTAAATTTAGCATTAAGCTATTTCACTATCTACTTAGCATATATTTGATAGGAGTCTGTCTTAGCTTGAATCAAATACTGCTCAGCACTGTGGAATAGGGAATACTGTTAGGATCTGTGCACAAGACCTTTCCAGTCATGGAATATTGTTAGATGGCAATACAATACTAGGAACGAAAACGGAAATTACCTGGCCACCTTCAAGACTATCGCATATTCCGGGGTTATTATACTCAAGGACGTCCAGGTCAATGCCTTTAGCAGCTGCAATCGATGAGCACGTATCGCCAGAATTTACCACTGTATTAATCTTGCAGTCTTGATTTACCATGCCAAGACAGAGTACCTAACAATATTGTATAAACAAATAAGATTTAGAATCAAATGGAGAAGATATAATGCTAACTTCGCCAAGTGGCAAATTGAGACAATCGCCTGCGGTCGCATCTGGGTTGTTAAAGGCAAGCTGGAACCTAGGTATACAATATTATATAATGTAAATAATAAGAATCTGTGCATTCTTCTGGGAAGAAGGTACTTACGTAGAGACCTTCTTCGCTTGTGAGATAGAATTACACGTATCACCCGCCCTAACCTTGTAGATGCGAGTGCAGTCACCCTGAGCATTGACTATGCAAATAATGAATATACTACGAAGTGGAACGGACAGTTATCAATACTGACTATGAGGGATAAATGCAATAGTCAAAGCGCCGAAGGTGAAGAATTTGTACAACATGATGAGACTGAAGCAAGAAAGGGCACGAGTGAGATTACTTTGAGAGACAGTATTAATTGGTGGATCCTCCAGAGGAACTGCAAAGGAACGAACAAAGTTCCTGGTGAGTACGTACTTACTACTACTCACCAAATCACAACTGTTCAATCCATCGGCTCAACAACTCTGAAATCCAGGAACGTAAGACCACTTACCACGTAAGAAAAATAAATAAATAAATATTACAGAGCTCCCAACCTCCATAGATCGCTTGTGTACACGTGAAGGTGTATGTGCAGGTGAATCGTGCATCTCCAAGGCGACGAGTAATATGCACTCATTGAAATGCAAAGTTGCTCAGATGTGCCTTAGAATGTAGAAGGGATATATCATTTGCTTACACAATAATGGTATGTGATGAGACTCCAGATATTCACATCTGCAAGTTCTCTAAACGACAGTGAAACGGTGTGATATACCAGAGCAGTAAGTAGGTCTTGCCAAGCGCGATGCGGCTGTAGGACTTTGCATATGCCGTCATTTGTAATGTGCAGACTACCTTCAATGCCGGATACGTCATTTCACAAGTCGAGATTTGGCATTCCGAATCGGTTTCTTCGGAGAAAACAGTTTGGTAGAATGTCATACAACTCTTGTTACTGTAACGCCGTTTGGTACTTCTTCAAGTGTGCGCTAAAGTCCAATGTGTCTTAAATACTCTGAGAGCTCCGTGGTATGCATGGAAGTACTCCGGTGGCAATGAGCCGCCGAATTCGAGGTCACAGAGGTTTATGTTCGAGGAGTCGACAATGATGCCCAGTGGCCGCGTCTGCGAGCGATCTTCCGTGCGATGTTGTTTGTAGATAGCATGTTGATCCAGATAGCTCCGCAGTAGCAGCACAAACAAGATTAATCTAGAAACAGAAAAGAAACAATACACTCATAATCTTTCCAGGCCGATTTGTCAACAGAGGAAGTAGGCCAAACAGAGGAAACACTGTAGATAGCATAGAAGGCTCGTTGATTTACCATCAGGCAGTTCACTATATACTTTGCATATCTTCGATACCGGGATCCTAACTCGGCTCAAGTCAAATCCTGTCCCAGGTCACCGTTAGGAGTAGGGAATCCTGCCGGGGTCCGTGCACAAGACCTTGGCAATCATGGAGTCTTGTTAGACGGAGATACTAGTCTAGGAAAGGACAGAGGAATTACCTGGCCGGCCTCAAGGCTATCGCAGATACCAGGGTTATTGTCCTCGAGAATTTCCAGGCTAATGCCTTCAGCTTCTGCGATCGATGAACACGTATCTCCGGAATTGACCCTTGTGTTAATTGTGCAGTCTTGATTTACCCTGCCGAGGCAGAGCACCTAGCAGAGTATTGTATGAATGAATGAGCTTTCAGGAACAAATACAGGAAATTAGTGATAGTGACCTCGTCCGGTTGCAAATTGGTGCAATCTTCGTTAATCACCCCTGGGTTGTTGTGTGCGAGTTGGAAACTAGGTATACGATTTATAGATTGAATTAATGATAAGCATCCGTGCACCTACCTTGGAAAAACACGTACGTAGAGACATTCTGTGTTTCGCAGATAGAAGTACACGTATCACCTGCCTTGACCGTGTAGTTCCGGATGCAGTCATTCTGAGCATTTACTAGACAATATGCAAATGGTGAACACGGTACCGAATGGCACAGAGAGTTGTTAACACTAACTAGCCGGGATAAATGCAATGACCAAAGCACTGAAGGTGAAAAGCTTGCACAACATGACGAGACTGAAACAAGAAAGCGTATGAGTGAGACGACTTCGAGAGACGACTAGTAGATCCTCTGGAAGAACTGAAAAGAAGTGTACGAAGTACTTCGTACTCTTTATACCATTCCAACTCGCGGCTGTTCAATCTATCGGTTCGACAACTCCGAAATCTAGGAACTGGAGGCGACTCACCAAGAAATAATATTACCGCATTCCCGTCTTCCATAGATCAATTATGTACATGTGAAGATGTCTGGTACAGGGGAATCATGCATCCCGAAGGCCACGGGTAGTATGCATACACCGAAGTGCAAAGCCACTCGGGATATACTTTAGCATATGAGAAGGATTTAACATGCGTTCACAATATAACAGCATTTGATGAGGACCTCGGCAGTCGCGTTTATGCAGTCTTTCAAATGACAGTGAAAAGGTAATCATGCTCGTGTGTGACAGACCAAAGCCACAGCTCTTACCAAGACACAGTTTCGCTGTGATACTTTGCATATACTGTGAATATTACCATGCACGCTAGCTTCATTGAGATACGTCATTTCGTACTTCGACTCCCGACATCCCGAACCGGCGGCCAGAGAAACCTGTTCCGTAGGGTGTCGCAGATTCCTATCCGTCTCCATTTGATACCTTGTCAGGTTCGTTGATCTGAAACGTGAATAGTCCAAGGAGCTCCATAGCATGGACCGCTGCAGCTGAATGCATGGAAGTACTCGGTTGGCATTGAGCATAGAAGTCAAGGTCACGGGTGTCGACAGTGATCAAATACACCACCAGCAATATTTTTCATTAGCATGAAGAAATTCCCCTTTTGGTCACAACGTGATTTCCGAAACTCTTGGACAGCTGGCGACTTGGAAGAAATCGGAATATCGTAGGGAGCTATATCGGTGTTACTTTCCATCCATTCGCGGTGATGGTGCAGGGGACAAGGGTACCCGAAGTGAAATAACTGAGTGTGCAGAATTGGGTTGAAGGTCTTTTATGAGGGAAAAGAGCTCGGTGAGCGGGCGAGGGTTTAAAGCCCGTGTGTAATTGGACTGTACGATCTTGAACGCATAGACTGTAGAATCCATTATAAGGCAGTAAATGTTCGGGAACTTGAGCCTCGAAACGAATCTTAAGATTGCAGTACCCAATCTATGGCATTGCAAGAAGAGGTGAGTGCAAGTAATAGCAGCGGCGACAAGACCCATTCCAATGTATGTGCACGTGTAGACGTCGTAACGCTCCCTGCTTGCAAGTTTCTTGGGGATTACAGACTGGTGACCATACACCGACGGATTGGTTGGAGTGAGTGTAACGTCAGGACGTAAGCAGAAAGGAGAATACGAAATTATTTAGTCAAGCTGGGGGTTGGCTTCCTGAAGTTAAACGCCGCTTGTGGACGAATATGGGAGGTGGATGTTCAAAAGCAGGAGGCGGTACCGAGTAATTTGCATTCTATAGTGATACAATGACGAAACAGAAGTTCATGTACGAGGGGTCGACAACATGCCGAGCGGCCGCGTCTTCAAGCAACATTCGTGTGACATCGTTCGCAGATAACATACTGACCCAGACAGCACTACAACAGAAGTGCAAACAAGAATGATTTTGAACCAATTCAAGTAAATGGGTCCATAGGTCTTTCTAGAATGGGTTAAAATATGAGTGTCAAAATCGTTGGCAGTTATGGGTAGACAGCACATTACTATCCTAACAGGCGTCATTCATTGTCTCGCCTCTTCCTCGACTTTTGTCGCAGTCCAGAAAGCCGTCTTATACACATATCCAAGCATCGATTGTGAGTTATTTGTGTATGTCGTCTCGAGAGTTCGCTCATTCTGCAGTCGGCGATGAGGGACGAGGTTCCAGTAGTTAAGTTCGATTACCCGCGAAAGGATCAAAGGAGCATTTCACAAACCTCGAGTCTAAACCCCAACTTTCTACAGAGCGCCTTGACTTCTTCAAGGTCTAGTTCTATTGAAGGATCGTTGGTTGTATTGTTCTCCCAGTGCCATAAGAGTGGGCCTATGGAAGAAATAGATATAAAGAGTATCCTTGCGTTCGAGTTATGACAGTAAACCGAACCTAAGTTTATCCAGACTCCACCCGGAGCAAGGATCCGATGAATTATTCGAAGGTAGTTAATCACGTTCTTTGCCTGTATGCAAGGTCACATACAGGATAAACTTGAACTGTAAACGCAAAACTAACTGTATCGATGAAGAAGCATGTCATAACAGCGTTCCACTTCCCGGCCTGCGGCTCGTCCTCCTCATGATCATCGTTTCCATAAACCTCTTCAAAATCACCTGTGACGTTGTGTCAGTAGTGAAGATACAGATATTTCAATGGAGATAAGCACACCAGCAACGAGGGAGAAGTTCACGCCACGAGGAATCGCGGAAGGGAATGCATCCGGAATACTGACAGGTCGTAATAGCGCTTCTCGGTTCGGAATGTTCGAGAATGAGTGAACATGCGGATATATCGTGTGTTGATGTACTTGCTCCGTTCTATGCAAAGTTAGAATCAGGACCTTTTATCACAGTTTGACGGAAAGTAAGAACCTGTTTAAAATGAAAAACGATGCCAACAGCATATAATGCGAAAATTCATTGCCCTGACACGAAAATCCTTAGAACGTTTCTATCAGCAAAGCACATCATTATAAACACGGAAATGTTTGGACAGAAAGTACTTACCCAGTCGGGCTATATCATATGCAAGACGACCGAGCCCTGCACCCGGAACAAGAACCCGCAGTTTCGATCTGCATTCGTCATCTAGTTTTTGTATTAACAAGAAGCCTCGACATTGCAACGCACCTCTCCGCCTCTGGAACATTCGCAAAATGTCGTAGTAGAGCGTCTTTCATTGGCTCATAACATACATCCCGTTCCGATTTGCCCTTAACCTCCATAAGATAACTTCGTCTCGCAAGAATAAGACTAACGGTATACCTCGTCGCTCCAATCTCGTACAAATTGCTTGAGAGTGCTCCGGAGCTTGTCCATATCGAAATCAGTCGGACGGTATCGTTTTTTCTTAGAAGATGGACGATCCTGCGCTGTATTATTAACACTGCTACCAGGGTGCAAATGCGAGAAGCCATGATGCGGTCCACCCGAGTGAAGATGTGAATGAACTACAAAAGGTCAATTCACGTTGATTCCCTAACCTAAGCAAATGTAGCTTACTGTGATTAGATCCCTCGGTTGCCCCCTGTTCTCCATAGTCATCTTCGTCACCATCCTGAAAGAGGTCTGCATCCGAGAATATCTCGGGCTCGGCAATTATCGCTCGTACAAACTTAGCATTTTCAAGGATCGCATTATCAACATCAACAAGTCTCTGCTTCCACCCAAGCTCGTCAAGCAGCTTCTGATCTTCCAGAGAGAGCGAGAACAGGTCTTTCCGGCGTCGGTTATTCGCTGCCAGCTAAAGATTATCGATGCGTAAAGTCATCAACCTGGATTTCATGCTGGAAACTAGTCCGAAGACACGCTTACGAACAGAATACGACGCGTACTGCTCGAAAGTAGCTACTACTTTGGCGAAGTGTTGCTGTTCTTCGGCAATGTCAGCCTCGGATTGTGGGCGCATGGTGTACAGAGCACTACAAGGCTCAGTGAAATTTGTCTACAAGATGGCAAGCGGTTATCTCGCCTTCCATCTTTGGCATGCTCAGAATTTAGCGTCGACCTAATTTTAGTAGGCAAACATTTGACGGTGTAGAAATGCATCCTATGATAAAAGCTGGTGAAGGCATGCACACTAGTTCAATAATGCATAGAATATGAAATTGAGGACATTTAGATGCACTAGTAGAATACAATAATACAAGGTGCATCGAAAATACAACTCTACAACAATCATGTTTGTTCTTACATGCACATTCAAGAAGCCAGAAAAATATTATCATTTGCCCCGCTCCTGCTTAACTCAACTCATCCCTGTTTACCCCCCGTCACCCAGACGCAAGTTGCCTGCAGAATCTACAAGGAGCACCTTCCGATCCCCACCCTCTCGCGAATAATTTAAGTTGCGGATATCGAGAATCCCATGTGGAAAGTGCTTGAAGAGAAATAAATGTGTGCCATTGGTGTACATTGCAAAAGGTTAATGTCGCATGGTATCGTTGTCCCAAAAAGGTTGTGACCGAAGATAGTTGATTGTACGAAACGTGCATGTATTTTAAAAAAAGGGGGGGACTGCGCTGTCCGGATTTAAAATATAATGGCGGCACGGCGGCGTGGCTCGCTTTTCAGCAGTTCGACAGATTCCACGTAGTTTACACAATTCTCCCGGTTTTCGACGGAGCTTACGGTTTAAATTCACATAGGAAGCCATCGTAGGCTATCCAGTTTACCGAAGGTCGACAATTTCTAGATCCATGTCCCGCATCTGTACATGGCCTTTATCCGCATCCTAAAAAATCCCAGCGTAAGTCCAATATGCTTATTTACATAGATGACACTCTAAACTAGAAAGCAGAAGCCAAAGGATAAAGACGTACTGTGTAGATAGGTAGCTCCGGATGCGGATGGAAAGCACTCTGCTGGTCACAATCAAGAATTGTTTGCAATCCAGGTGGGTCGGTAAGCCGAAATATGCCGAAGTTAGGTGTGTGCTGCGGTGCACAGACTACTGCGAAGGATTCAGGGAGCATGCGTTGGAAACCGGAGTGGGTATGTAGGTCGACGGAGGACATGAAACCTAGGAGCGATAGACCGTTAGAAAATTCTGAAGATGATTAATCATGCTCAAACTGCTAACTCACAAGACTGTGTAGGATGCGTATGAATCTGTTCCATATATAGGTAAGTTGGATTGAAGCTCACAAAACACTAAAAACAAATGCACTGACCCATCCAAGCGTGATCAAACCCCGCGTCTCCGTGAAGTCAAGTACGAGTTCCTCCTCATCCATATTACATGTATCACTCGTCGAATGTTGTTTCGGGATAAGTAGAGTCGTTACTACGAACTTGCTTCCACGTTGCCTTCCAAGGAGCAATCCACACGTCTCACGGTTCTTAGCAGTGTTTACAGCAGCGATAGAAAGGAACCGCGGGAGCACCGCACGTGGAAAGCTGACTGTCCGCAGATCGCCTGAACCGCGTTCACGTCGTTCGGAGCTTGAGGTAGGAGAAATACGCGGCGGAGCACCTGCAGCTGTCGGCGTGACAGATGGAGCACTAGGGAGAGGCGGGGGATGTTGGTATGTTTGAGGCACGTCGTATGGCGGACGCTCTGGTACTGGGGGACGAGGTGATGTCCCAGGAGGACACGCAGGTGAATGAGACCGAGATGACGAAGGTTCACGCGGGCCATACATGTATGCTCGATTGTGCTGAAGATAGTCGCGTTCGGTTGGGGGAACCGGCTGCGAGGTCGGAGGGAGGATGTTTTGGTAGAGATGCCTTGGTGGTGGTGCATTTTCAAACAAGAGCGTCGTCTGTGGGAAATTGGCTGGCGGCTGTTGGAACATTGATTGAAGAGACGGTGTGTAACCCTGTGTTCGTTGATGTTGAGTCATGAGTTGCGGATACGAGACAGGGCTAAGGGAGGGTGGAGGAGCAGATGTTGTTATAATTTGAGGAAGGGGAGGCCTATATATCTAATCAGAAAACGACGCTCATACCAGGCACCAGATAAATTATACGTACCCTCCGAAGGGCGCCACCGTAGACGAGGAAGACGCATTCTTCCCTCCCATGCTGATCTCGGCGACTTTCTTGTAGAGCTCATCATCATTACCTTCTTCCGTCTCCGGGTCAGTAGAATCACCATCGTACCGCCTCATTGGACTTTCCAACGGCAATAAAGGCGGTGTATCTAAAGTACTATCAGATGCACTTCTAGTTGAAGATTGTCCGGTTGATCGCTGTGGTGCCATTTGCGGCGCAATTGGTATGGAAACGAATCCGGAAGCAGCACTGTTATGCAACGCTGCTCTCCGAACGGCACGAGCCTCTTCTTCGGCCTCCCGTTGCCTTCGTAAGATTCCATCCTCTTCTACACGCGTTCGCTGCTGGGATCGGGCCCTGGAAGGCTGTGGAAGTGGTTCCTCTCTCCGCCGCTTTTCCGGTGCTGTATCTGGATACCATATTTGTCTTGAGTCTCTTTCTTCACGGTAGTGTTCATTTATGCTTGATTTTCGAGATGGAGTACGGTCTCTTTGTATTCGATCTGCGTTAAATGCTTTCGGAGGAGCTGAAGAGCGGGGAGTAACACTGCCCCGCGATTGCGCGTTCTCCCAAGCATTGTGCCGATCAATCAGAGGAGGTTTTAGCAATCCCATTCTGTCGAGGACACCTTTGCCTTTCTATACCGTAATATTAGCCATTGTTTCCTATTGAGTACAGAATGATCGTGGCGCGCACCATTATTAGCGTGTCCCTCTGTATTTGATCAAGTCTTGTGTGGTAGTCCCGGTGCGTCGGTATTTTGTCAAGAATGAGTGTAGCCGCCCGCGCATACTCCACAAATGCATTTTCAAGGTCGCCGTGCAAGTCATGATCCTGACCGGCATGTCGAGCCCTTTCGGCCACTTTGAGCCAGAACTTGAAATCCTTGGAGGCATCCCAGTTGATCTCGGCGCGCTGAGCGAGCTCTTGTATTGATGCAGGCCGCTTCGGAGTCAGACTTGCCGCGGGCACCGACGTCGACGCTCGCGAGTAGCCGCTTCCCGCTGCAGAGGACATGGTGGACAGGGACAAGGACGGAGAGCTAGGGTGTTGGCTAGTGCGGCAACCACAGCAGTGCTGCGTGCGCTCCGTTTACACAAACAACCTGTGCATCCTTATAAGGCAGTTGGGTCTCATGCTGCTAATCTTCGGCTGCTGATCGCCTCTAGGCTCTACGGTAACGGGACTGTAAAGGCGACGCCGTTTAACGTCCACTGCTCGTATCGCTGATATTGACAGCATGGCGGTCGACGATACCTTCAAGCCTGCGCGTATTCGCGGTCTTCTCTTCATTGCAGGAATCTTCTTGGTCTTTCTCCAGGCGGGTCTCTATACAGGGCACCGTCAGACAGTTGCTCCGTTACAGAGGACGGTGCAAATCAAGCCCGGGTCGACTATTACCGAGCACCCAATTCCTAAGCTCATGGCTCAGGCAGAAGACAAATTCAGAAACCTGTTAAAAAGACAGAGCAAGTCACTCTCGGAGGCAGTCGCAGAATACAAGAGGAGATACAGTCGCGACCCGCCGAAAGGGTTTGACGAGTGGTTTAAGTTCGCCATGGAAAAAGGCGTCAAAATTATTGACGACTACAATGCAATAACGGAGGATCTTCTCCCATTTATGTCGCTTTCTGGTGAAGAGCTACGAAGAAGGGTCGACCAGGTGCCGTTCATTTGGTCATAACCGCCGGGATTCTAACAATGCTGAGGTTTTATTTATTTCAGGTCAGCCATCTTCCGTCAATTGACATGGTTCGGTTGTACAATGGTACTGTAAAGGCCATGAACATGCAACAAAACAGGTGGCAAGATGAAGAAGTCAGCGGTCGTGCGAATGGTTTCAGACGAATGATAGAGAAAGTTGGAGACAGGGTACGTATCAGCTCTGGACGTCCCAGATAAAAAGCGGAAAAGCGCTCAATATCAAGCCTTTACGTTTCTTTAGCTCCCGGACATGGATTTCCCAATAAATGGCAAGGCAGAAGGTCGAATCCTCATTCCTTGGGAACACAAGCAGTACCCCGAATTGAGCGTCCGGGATACTTCAGGTATACAGTCGTGGAGCCCCCTTCCGTTTCGCACAAAATAAGGTCTTACTGATGCCTCGTGTTAAGGTGGTATTGACGCAGTAATTGGGTCTGACTTCACCGCGGACTGGCGCGGCGACGGGAACGTGTGGGAATCCTGGAGACGCACTTGTCCCCGGGACTCGAAAGCTCGCAAACTATTCTCTTCTATCAAGACTTTGGTGCAAGCACCGCGAGCAGTTAATTTTCTAGGCTACATTAACGGCAGGCCGGCGGCATCTGCTGGTGAAAACCTGACTTTTGCGGAGAGTGTCGACGACAAGTACGATTTTTGCGAAAATCCGTCGCAGCATTACCAACAAGGACATTTCTTCTCCGATTGGCGCACCATTTCTGTACTTTATCCAGTATTTTCACCAGCAAAGACACAAGGCTACGCGGATATCCGGATTCCCAGCCATTATTACCATCAGGCAACGCCACAATATACATACAGCTGGGATACCATTAATTTAAAAGGCAAGGCAACTGACGACATGGAAGTTTCATGGGATAACAAAAAGGACGTTATCTTCTGGAGAGGTGCGACGACCGGGGGCGGCAACTCGCCTTCTGGGTTTGCCGCACAGTATCAGCGTCACAGGTGAACATTATTTCCATCTGTCACTTCCAAAAATTAGGTTGGCTCATGAAATTTTGCTAGGTTTGTACGGATGACGAGTTCACACAGTGATGAAAATCGTACTGTCGTGTTCCCCGCCCCAGATGCGTCATCCTACATGTCTGCATCCGTCCCTATCAAAAAGCTGAATGAAGAGCTTATGGATGTTGCGTTTGTCCGTTTACTTGGGGCCGAGAACTATCCTGGTGGCCGTGCAGCTTTACACAAGGCGCACAGATTCGACAAGGCCGTTCCCCTTGGCGAGCATTGGAGGTACAAGTATCTCGTAGATGTCGACGGTATGGGCTACTCTGGGCGGTTCTTCTCCTTCCTTGCATCGGATAGTGCACCTATAAAGGCCACTGTATATCAAGAGTACTTCTCTGACTGGTTGCAACCCTGGTGCGTGTAGTGCATAAGCTCCTGTGATCCCATTGGTTGCCCTGCAGCCCGTCTGACCTACGTGCGTTTGCAAGGTTGCACTACATCCCCCTCTCGCAGACGTATGAGGAAATCTACAATATCTTTGCGTTCTTTTCAGGGCCAACGCAGTCCATGCGAGAGGCATCAAATTCTTCGTTAACTGATTCGCGGGAACGCTATGATGACGGCCAACGCCGATTGCGACGTATCGCCCGTGCGGGGAAGCACTGGAAGAACACGATCGGACGGCCAGTAGACATGGAAGGCAAGTTCTCTTTTATATTTTCTTTCTGCGTTTACCGAGCAATGCCTTTCCCCGCGTTGCTCGGGAGTCGAGGCCCACTTTATTGACGACCCCAACTTGTGATCTTTCTGTCGCTAGTTTACATATACCGCCTGGCTCTAGAATGGGCGAGGCTGTGGGCAGATGACCGAGAAGCAATGAGCTTCAAGCTGGAGAAGAACCCTTTCGAAGCTGGTGGCCCCGCCGCCTAGTGGATTATGTATTTCTTATGTCGACGGGTAAAGAGGCGGTTTCTTTTTGTGATGGGCAGGAATAGACATTCGGTCGTTTTTTGGATAGAGTCCTGCTCTGGTCTACATTTTTTTTTCCTGGGTTGCCAGACGCTGATCTAGTTTACAAAGGACTAATAGCTGCAATTGCCATGTCTGCTCTTTTGACGCATAATTTATTTCATTTCGTTCTGACAGTTGATGAGAGCGGTCAAGTGCTGTCCTTTGAACGGTATGCATGCAGATCATCGTAGTCAATTTACGTTTCGGCTGTGTGCCGCGGCAGATGACGGCTATTGCACGTGTTCGCCGTGCGTTCGTTCCTTCGCAAGCTCAGAGTTCAGATTCAAAGAACTGGTCTCTCTGCGCCAGCTCATCGTCCTCTGGACAGTCTGAGTCGATCTGACTGAGCTTTGCATCACTGCCGCGCAACTTCTCAGGATAATGAACAGCGGCCCGTGGTTCTCTCAGTATCAGATTCTGTGGAGTTGGCTTGAAAGAGAAAGAACACTCGTTTCAGTCCTATCTGCTTCGCCGCGTTGCAAATGCATGGCGAGGCAGGGAATTATCCAAATCATTCAAACAAAGCTTACAAAACACACCAATCTGTCCTGTGATGCCGGCTCGTGATTCACCATCTCCTCTCCGGGCCTTTTTCTATGTTCCGTTGTTCGTTTAGAACACTGCGATTTCTGCGAGGTTATGCCCGAACACACGTGCTAGTGTGAATGAAGGCTACAAATCGCTCACTAGCTCAGTCATCCTTTGTACTCAACGGACGTAAGGTGTGCGTTTTGTACATCTATCCGTTCATTCTTCACTTCTTATCTTCGTCCAACTCTAGACACTGACGACATTGAAAGCCTATCCAAGGTGAAATGTGCGATAAATCACCGAAAGATGTGAAGACGGCCATTCAGCACGGACACAATCGCGTGCAATCAGGATCATAACAATGGCACACGATGCCCCTTTGTATAAATTGCGCAGGCCTCGGTGGAGGTTCAAAGTTTTGCGTGTGATGTACACGAGGCTTAGGCGTGTCCGTTCCAAGATTTTTGGGTGTCGTCAGGGGGGCAGTACCCCCTTTGCGGCAGGTGCCCAGATTAGCACACTCTCATTCACTGCGGAACCACTCTGAAGCTTCTGCAATCGGCCTTCGATCATTCCCTTCATATAAGAGCCACTCCACAATTCGTTCAACCAATTTCTTTCTCTCCGCCTCCTGACATCCGTCGCTTGTAACAAAACAAAAATGCCTCGCTCAAGCGTAACAGGCAGCTCATCCTCGTCTAACTCTTACTCCGCAAGCCGCGCAACTCTGCCTTTCACGCGAAGCATTACGGACTTTGAACTTGAGCGGACCGAACGTCTTCCTCACAAACCGCCAAATTATGCTCGGAACCGACTCTCCCGAACGGAGTCCGAATGCGACTCTGAGATGATGTACCAGCACAACGTCTCAACGCTCATGGCCGCCAAAGCTCGTCCGTTCTCGATATCCGGTCACATTCCGCTAGATCCAAAAGCGCTGATGGTCTTCTTCCGTTCTCAGGTGTGTAGTAATTTCAAATTGAGGACCCTTAGCACGGCGATCTTATTCAAATAATCTACATCGCAGAGTGGGATTACACACGCACTGGATTTCCCTATTGACGTCGAAGTGGAGGCGCCGCCTTCATTAGACGTACTCATCGCAGCTTGTAAGCCGCATGCAACCTGCGAAATGGATGGGTTCTCGGATCGCGAGTCGTTGTACTATCCGCCGAATCTATCACTGACTACAACGCTCGAATTGGCGGGTCACCCGATTCTGGAGGCGATCCGAACCACGTTGTTTCCGCGCCTCGCGTCGGGGCAATACCTCGTAGCCGTGCGGGATGTGATGCAGCTCGTACCCACAGGAGGGCACATGTGCCCACAAAGGCGCTTGACTCAAGAGGAAGGCAAGGTTGCAACACTGGTTGTCACATTACCTGTGCGGTTCCGTGGTGGAGCGCTGACGGTGCATGATTTTGAGGGTAATGAGGAGAAATACTACGGCAGAGGCGGGAAACCGGGCGACCTAGAGTGGACTGCGTTTCTAGCGGACTGCGATCACGAGGTGGAGACCGTACATAGGGGTGTCCGTTTGACCATTTCGTATAATGTCCTCCTTCGCACTTATGGTCCCTCACCTTCCCCGTCCCAGTCACTCATGCTTCCGAGTGATCGGTTTCTTGACTTGATCGCACCAATACTTAATATGTCAAGGGGACAACACATCGCCTTTTACCTGCGCGAACAGTATGGCTGTTCTCCGGCTGATGCATTGGCGGAATCTCTGGTTCCTAATGTGCGTTCTTTCCCTAATTTGCTATTCATTCACCTTATTGATATATTAACAGCTGAAAGGCGGTGATGCACTGTTATATCATTCCCTCCGTTTGTACAAGCTCACTCCGGAGCTGCGCTGGGCTGCGGGAGGTTATATCTGGCCAGTCGACTCAACAGTCCAATGCGGGAACTTCTTCCATAACTCTCCGCGACCACTACACAACAACCTCCGCAGTCCACTAGCCAGCACAAAGCAACTGGTGACTCCCGGCGGGCGTACACGACGCATATACTCTGGTATACCACGAAAAGCGATCACGAACGGGAACGGAAATGGGTTCTCGTCGCTCTACCACGAACCGGGTTCGGACTCGACGGATGAAGATGAGCTAGATGATCGGCATGATGCTGTTATTTTACGTACGCGCGTGGAGGAGAGCGGTGCAATGCCAATCGCGCAGACGGGGATTCGGGTGCTTGCGGATGATACGCTTGGGGTAGGTGATTCGGTGACGAAGGAGAGAGTGCCGTATATCTCGGCAGGTGGGCTCGAAAAGTTGATCATTAATGTGTTGTTGGTCGTCTATGTTCCGTGAAGCACGTTTTTCTTGGGTATCTCGTTTGATACGTTGGTGCTGACTTGATAAGTGTTTCTTACGATATTCCACGTTTTTCCACGCCGGTTCGTACTGCTTTTACTTTTACTTTTCCCAACGCTCCCCAGTCACGCACCTTATATTCTTGACGACTCACGACTCGATCCCGGACTGTGCCACACCGTCTTGTCCTTCAGCTGTGTCCGTCGCATTGTATATTACTAGCATGTCCTGCACAGGAACACCTCCACTATCTCGCCATCCTGTATTCATTCCATTTATATCCCTCTTGTAATCGTTTCTTACATCTTTAATGATCTTGGGTTGTGGTTCGAACGTGTATCAGTATCTCTATCTAACTATTTGATATGGTTGCTATTTTTCCATATTCGTGCCTCGTCACATGTGGTACAACTTATTCTAACGGGATTAAGTGCATGGATTTCTCCTTTGTTTACTCCTAACAAATTACGTTATTAGCCTCTTCCTCAAGCTGTCCAAAACAAAGCATCAATATATCAATCTGTGGTGCCTCTTATCTAATTTGATGATTGATTCCAAGTGTAATCAGGCAAAATTAATTCATCATTGCAACCTAAAGACTGGAAGACATAGCATTTATAATGGAAATATTATACATGTACTGCAATTTTCCTAAGCGGAAATGCTGAAGTACTCAATGTATGATAATCATCATACTTTTATTATACTGTATTGTCTTTCACTAATATTTTAAGTTTTCTTTAAGACTGCATAATCTGTCTTCTACTTTCCCGTCATTTAGTCTATCTATAATTGACAAGACTGTATTCAGGATGTCATACTAACCAAAACAGGAAAAAATCGCCGGCAAAGACACTCATTGACTCAACAACTTCGATGTGCTTTCCCAGACCTGTTCCGACTGTCTCTTCTAAGGGCTCAGACAGCACATCAATGCGAGCGCATGGGCGTATTCAGGGCTCAGGTCACTGTCATTTGTATACTGTTACGCGGCTTCAGGACGGAATTGGGCGCATGGACGCAATGAAGGATTGCTCGCTGTTTGCGGTGGCTGGTCAACCTCATTTGTTTTACCTGGTTCGGCACCGACGCTACTTATATACGAAAGCAGATAACTTTTCACATACGAATTTATGCTCGGCGTATTCACCCCGCACACATCGAATTCATCAAACGTGCTAATTGCCGCATCAAATCTCTCATGCCTTTTCGCCCCGCCGCGCCCCCGAATGACAATGCGGAATGCATTGCCGGTCTATAAACAACCCGAACGTGCGACTTGACCATGCAGCGTGGGGCGCTCATGATCGTCGCATCGGCATAATTGTATTGACTTGACGAGGGCGATCATGGAAGAATTTTGCCTTTGCAATAACACTGGCCTGGCACCGTTACATTGTACCTTGCAGCGGACGCCCGCCCCGGGAGGCAGTGCACCATAGGGGACCCTATTGCTTCTTCTGTCCTTGGCGTACGAGAACGAACTATACGAGGCTTTGCTTCCGTCGCCTTATGGATCTCCATTTGATTTCCCTGTGAACTAGAAGGAGTCATGAATAGTGGAATATGATCATATGTGCGAAGACGATTGATTCCTGTGCCGTGTCACGATCCTAGTTTTTCGGAGATCTGAACTCGAAAGAGAGAGATCGTCGAGGAAGCTGAAGAATATAAAAAGCCCTTCAGAGCACAGACAATCCTCAGCAGTTCCTTCGTTGGATTTGCCTACTCCCCTCTACCTACCATTCGTCTTCACATTCCACCTCTTCGTTCTCTTACTATCATGTTGTCCAAGCTCTTCGTTGCTGGCGCCTTGCTCATCTCGTCGCTCTCGGCTGGTATGTCCTCTTTGTTTCGCCCGTTTGACGCATGCCGCTGAACATATGTTCTCATTCTTCTACTCAGTTAACGCACAAACCGGTCAATGTGCACGTACCTATGTTGTCCAGGCTGGTGACAACTGCGATACCATCGCTGCCGCCCAGCATGTCTCCACGTACGTCTAGATTCATGCTATCCCCGCTGTGAATATGCTATTTACCAGTATGCATATAGGTTCCAAATTCACTTCGTCAACCCACAAATCAATGATGCCTGCACCAACCTAGCTGTCGACCAGGTATGCTCCTACTTCTTTCTAGTTCTTTTCTATGTTTGACCCACATGACTTCGTTAGGTTCTGTGCCTTGGTATTGTCGGCCAGGACTGCACAACGACAGCAGTTGTCAACTCTGGTGACACCTGCACGTCAATTGAAGCCACTGCTCGGATCCCAGACGCAACCTTGAAGGCGAACAACCCGAACGTCAACGCAGATTGTTCGAACCTTCGCATTGGAGAGGTCCTGTGCACGTCTTTCCAGGTGTTCAACTACACGACGACGGCTTAATGAGAATCTAACGAGTGATTCAAATACTCTTATTTTTTGTTTGGGACTTTAGAAAATTTAATGGGTATATGGGTTGTAGTAGTTACTGCTGCATGTGTTAGAGAATAAAGAATCTTTGTCAAGAATCGTGCTCCGTGAGATCATGTCGATTACCTCAGAAAGTAACTTCTTGCTTCCCATGAATTCAATGTAATACAAGTAGATAGATACTGTTAATATGTATAGGAATTGAGGCAATGAAACTCAGTCCTTCAAGCCCAAGAGCATGGATTAAAGTATCGTCAGTCGCATTGCTGTTTCCTAACAATCGAACATATATGTACTCTTGGTAATACAAGAACACCACCAGTATAATCTACTCATCAAGGAGTCTGTTACAACTAGCCAATGAAGGTTGTCTTAGGTGAACTAGTGTGACATTCGCACCGTATCGAAGATTTGTGGAGATATCGAACAGAAACATACAATTGTTAAATTAAAGAAGTGGCTACAAAGATTGGCTTTGTGTTGAGGACGCCAGACGGTATGTCATCCAACGACATACATATGAGCACGATGCCAACTTGCACATGCCGAGTTCTTCTTCATACATAATCTACATTCCGTGAATCTTGAGGTCACTCAGGATCGATTTAATCAGGTTTAATATTGCACAATAACAAAGCAGAAAAACATGTACAGTACTGGGAAGGCAAATACGTAGGTAGATGCCTCCTCCTTATCACTCGCCAAAATACTCTTCGACCAACGCGCGCTTGCGAAGTTCGAGAAGTACACCTTCCATCTCGTCTTTCGTAGGCAACTTTGGCGGGAGAAGATCTTCCGGTGCGAGGAATGGGATAAACGCGGCGGCCATTTTTGCACTTTGTATCGCGGTGTCCATTGACGGCTGTCCTTGTGTGGTCACGATGCCATTCGTGGCAGAAACATCGTCTTGCGTTTCAGTGAGCTTTGGTCGCTTTGTAGCATCGGTAGAGGCATCTGACGGCTGTGATATCGAAGAGGGAGCAACCATGTCCATGTCGCCATCTGGAGCTTTTCGTTTCGTAGCGTCTGAAATACCGGAGGCCAGTTGTTGATGCGTTGTCGTACTGAGCGGATTGGCTTTGTCGCGGCCTGGCATTGGTGGGACAGGCTCATCTTCCGGAATACCGAGCACTTCCCGTAATGTTGAATACGCTTCTTCCCATTCTGCGTTGTCACAACCGTTTGAGCTTCGGGGTTTGAAATGGAGATAATGGAAAGCGACTGACCTTCTTCCTCTTGTGATCGCTCATATTTAAGCAGTTCACCGTCTTTCTCGTCCAGGTCTCCATAGTATGATGGGCCTTGACCGGTGAACTTTTTGTAGAAGGCGTGCATCTTGTCCTCCTCATCCTGTTCCTTTTTGCGGCCCTGGAAAAGTTCCTTCACACCAGGTAACTCCTTCGCTCGACCAAAGTATCTATACACAAATTAGATCCCGATTTTCTTAGTCAGAGATAACGCGAGAGCGTACTTGTATCCTTTCGTCCCAGGAACCTCCTTCCCTTCATCATCCAACATAGCAACATTCCGTCGATAATTGGCACCTCCCAATGCAACAATCTGGTTTTCCCAATGTCGTTTTTCGCGCAATAACTTGTTGATCTCGTCGTTCACGTCGCGCACTTCATAGTCTGTCAAGCCAGCTATAAGGTGTATAGTCAGCAAACGCGTAATAAAAGCGGACCTTGAATGTGATGGAAAGGTAAAGACATACCGTCCTGAATTTTCGACACCTTGCGGCTGATTTCTCTTAGAATTTCACCTCTCCATCGCTCACATTCTCGCAGGCTTTTACATGCGCTTGCCATGCGCGGTCGTCGGTCGCTCCGTGTTCCAAGACCAAGCTCAGCGGCTTGCGCCTCTCGGAAACGGTAAAGCATGGACTGTGCCTTCTCTTCATTACGGGCCTGTTAGTCAATGGGTGAGTTAAACTATTTGTTTCGTCAAATCGATGAATTTGCATACCATTTTTTGGAAGCAAAGGACGTGGTCGACGTCTATCTAGGACTTAGACTCAGAGGGACACAGAAGTAACGTACCGTGGCTGTGCAAATTCCTTTCCAGGCAACACGTCGATCTCCTTTAATTTTGCTGTGGTAGTTGCCAGTCTATCGCAGACGACCATCGTTGCAAGTAGAAAAAAAAATGGCTGTAGCGGTGATGAAAAAGGCGAAGACGTCAAATAACAAAACAGGAGCACCATCGCAGTACAGACAATCGAGTCGGAAAGGCAAGAAAGCTTGGCGGAAGAATGTGGACATTGGTCAAGTAGAAGGTGGTCTCGAAGAAATGCGTGCAGAGGAGCGGGAAACTGGGTGAGCATTACTAACACCGGCCTTGCATTATTTACACCTGACATACGTGAAGGTCATCATTGCGCTCCAAAACTAATGACGAACTGTTTCAAGTCGACGTGAAGGGAGACGAAGACGGTATGTTCACAAAAGGTTCGAACGTATCGGGTCCTTATCAAGAGATTAATTCACAGCCCGCGAACGTCTACCCAAATTCGATAAATCTCAACTTTCCTACTACAAAGCACTTGCACAGCGATCAGCCGTACCCGCAGTCCTCTCCCGTCACTCAACCCCTTCCACAAAGAAGCCAATACGTATCACCCAGGAAGACAAGAAACGTCTGCTACGTATCGGAAAGAGGAAACGACTGGGACCTTTTAATAGTGTTGAAGACACTTCAGAGCTTGGTAAGGGAAGTGCGCTACTTGACCCAAGTCACGCCGTCAAGCAAAGTGGCACATACGATGTCTGGGCTCCAGGAGGTCGTCCCGCAACCTCGGATGTTGGGGTTGGAGACTTCCTACCGCCCCCGGCCGAAAAGCTCAAAGTAAATGCACCGCAGTCAAGTACATTACGCGAAGAAATTGCAGTCCCGACCGTAGTTGTGCCTCATGCCGGCTCATCGTACAATCCTCCGGTGGATGCCCACCGGGCGTTACTCCGACTTGCGAATGAGAAGGCGGAAAGGGATGAAAAAGAAGCTGAGAAGCTCGCACGTCTGAAGGAGAAAGTGGATGCAGCAAGGAAGGTACAGTTAGCTGAGGTGACACTAGGCGTCCCGATAGGGATGACCGTCGACGATGGCAAGGAAACAGACAGCCATGAGGATGACGATGAGCGAGGCGACGCACCTTTGCCCAAGAAACCTACAGTACGGAAAACGAAACAACAACGTAAAAAGGCAGAAAAGCAGCGTGCAGAAGTAAGGCGTTCCTTTCTTATCTCAGCGCTGCAATTTAATTTTCTTACACGTTCGAAAAGAAACGCGCACTTGCTGAACGAGCTGCAAAGAAGCGTCTGCTCGCCACCCTCGACTCAGTGAAGTCGACAAAGAAAATTATAGACGGCACGTTATCTGCGCGTGAACAGGGACAGATTCAGCGGCAACTTATATTACAAGAGAAGCTACGTCGTTCCGGACTAGCAGGCCGACGACTTGGAAAACACGTCATACCAGAAGCAGAACCGGAGGTGCAACTCGGTGAAGATCTGTCGGAAAGTCTCCGTGGCTTGAAGGTACGAACTTCAAGTAATACGATGCATACCTATTGATATACTGCTTCCCTGTTTCTCCGTAGGTGGAAGGTAATCTCTTCAGAGACCGCTTCCTCAGTATGCAACATCGTGCTCTGTTAGAACCGCGTGTGCCAGTATTGTACGTTTTTCCTCTATGCTGTCTCCTTTCCTCCCACTCATCGGCATCCAATAGACCCAAGAAACATCGTCCAAGGATGAAAGAGGTTGAAAAGTTCGCGTGGAAACGCTTCGAATAATCATGTATTCGTTCGTGAACTGTACTCCTTACGGTTGCATCTAGATTAATACACCTGATTCCTGTCGCACGTCGTCTCGATGCAGGAGACATGGCCATCTCTTAAGTATTTCCTTATCGAAGCAATCTTAAGAAGTTAATTAGGAGACATAAGCCGGGCTGGCTGTAAGTGACACTTCCGACCTCGAGACACTTCGCAAATTCTTGGGGAACTCCTTACCACCGTCTATAAGTCGTTAGCTTTTCGACCGTCAATTCGTTTCAGGAATGCTTAAAGGACTTGCTTTCCCATGATCCACGTCCTCTAGGGACTGTACATGTTTTGGAGGAATACCACTGTCTTAATCAGAATTCACTTTTCGTAGGTTCACGCATATCAAGTACCCCATAGGAGGTGGCCTCATTTTTTGCTGCAGGTACGCAATTTTGCTGACGTTCTTCACAGCACAGATGTTCATGTTACCTCGCACTGATCCGTACAGATCGCTCGTTCGTTTTACTCATTCACTTATGTCACTGTACGTCTTGGCACCCCCAGCACCTCTGTCCCGTACAACTGTCCATATATGGTTAGCGTCCGACGGTGATGCCCGCCGACATCCCTTAGACTGCGGTGAATATGTCGGAACTGGATGCGTCATCAATCTATATGTCGGGGTATATGTCAGAAAATGCTCTTGTTTGACATTTTAGGGTGCGGCTTCATCACCAACTTCATCACATGTACGTATGTGTGCTGCGCCTTTCTTGGCTACTCATCTTGCTGAAGTTCGGGCATTGATGGCCCGTGTGCCATAATTCCGCAACCCCGACAGCAGATGACCAGCACCTTCTACCTGTGGCGCATAATGTACGCATGCGCTCAAACGTCATTTTTCGCTTCAGCGCCCAGTGCTGCGCCTTCACTCACCGCCTCCACCGGATTTTCTATTGACACATCAATTTCGCGACATTTTTATCCCGAACGGACTATACCAGCTGCATTTCTTCAAATCCGCATACGCGTGGATGGACCCGCAAACATCAAATAACTGTCAAAATATGTTTCAGGGAGTGGGTCTGTCGGACCATTATGCGACGGCGAATTCGCTCTTGGACCTGCCAGACGTGAGTACAGGAGGGCTTGGCATGCCTTGTTGCCCGCGTTCAACACAGCTGAAGTGGAGCAGCGAAAGGTATAAAACAGGCCAGGATTTGAGGATGGAACGACAGGTCCTACAGCCAGTTTGACCATCAGAACTACAAACATCTTCTCAGAGTATGCACTCTTCTCGCTTTAAACCATCTACGCTCACTAACTTGTAGCCTCATACACAAAGTCTCACCAAGTTTACCAATCTCCAAATAACCATGAAGTTCACCGCAGCCGTCGTTGCCGTACTCTCTCTCGCCATCCTCCCGCTCAGTGCATTCGCCGAGCCCATCGAGTCCAGAGACATCAGCGGAACATTCTGGTGCAATAAAGACAAGGGAGGCAACTGCAAGCTTCCTGGCGTCGGACCCACCTACGACTGCGGCAAGAAGAACGGTGCAAGCTTCTACGAGTCCGACGATAGCAGGAAGTTTTGGCGCTCTATGGGCGACTGGGAGGGATTCGAGAAATGCTGCCACAATGCCGGCAAGGGCGCGTGCCACTCTTAAAGAACGTACTACGTTTGAAGGTATGTGTATACGAAATCTAGTAGTAGTGGCCTACGTCTGATTGCCAACTGACTTCATCCGTTTACTGCCTCTAGGATTTGGCATCGTGTAGTTATGAGAATTCATTGTATGCCTTAAGTAAATCTAAGGACATTATTTTGACGCGTCGATAACCGTTCCGTGTTCAGTCTGATCAACGCCTTGCGAAATTGCACATATTGTTCTAATCCACCCGTCTATAGCCTAGCATACTTACTTCTCATTGGTGGCGAAGGTGGCTACTCTCTGGAGTGATGCACCGTATCCGGTGATGCTTTCTATTGCTTCTCCAGGATTGCAGTGCATGGTATGTGAAAGTGAGATGTCCACTATTCATATTTTTCCCGTCTATTGGCGCATCTTGCCTATGTATTCAAGATAGAAACGGTATTAAAGAACAGTATTTTATATTCGCTTTCTTGGCAGACCAGCAGCTCCCCCACTCCGTGCCGTCACAAATTCTTGTCACTAAAGGATGGTTTTACTGCAGACTGATACGCACGTGTCTCATACACCTCGATATTCATATTCAAGTCGGGTACAACTGATATGCTTATATGGCCAGCCCTGAATTACCATCCAGAGTTAGAGTTCGGACGTTGGGACAGGCAAAGAGACGTCAAATGGATGATCGACAAGCTAAGACAGATTGATCGACACAGGACTAGAGATAACCTTTTTGAGTTTTTCCACGAAAAACATATGATTACATAAGCAAGATAACTCATTCTCCGGCTGCCGACGGGACGAAGAAGAGGCGCATTTGCAAAGAAGCGACAAAATTTGGCCGGCTTTTCCGCCAGGTTCCGTCTGTATCCCATCATTGGCATCAAGACCAGATGACCAGCCAGTCCACCGCCCGTGGCTCCTGACCGCACTGTAAAATATTCTCCCCGCATGCAGTGAGCATATATAGCTCTTCTCCTCGGTTCTTTGTCTCGACCTCGCTTTCTTCCTTACTTCCTGTAGCTCGCGTGGAGTGTGCCGACGTCTCGCGCTATAACTGCTATGGCTGCTCCAGAGCGCTTGAGCCCGACCATGTCGATGAAGAGCGACAGGATAAAGGTTGAAGAGGATCTTTCCATCAACAAAGGATTGAATGGAGAGTTATCTGAGCTCACCGTAATAGCCGAGGGTGAGGAGCGTACAACATGGTTTGTGTGGATCCTCGTTCTATGCTGCAGTATATCCGGTTTGCTCTTCGGTGAGTCTGAACTATTTGATTTTTCGACGCAAATCGATTATAACAATGTTCTAGGTTATGATACAGGGGTAATCTCTGGTGCACTGGTTACTATCGGTTCGGACTTAGGGCCTGCAGAACTATCTTCTCTACAAAAAGTAGGCGATAATAAAAATAATGTAATTTGAAATTGTGATCGTTTTGATAACCCGGCCATGTACTATAGGAGCTGATCACTTCTTCAACGACACTCGGTGCATTGATAGGTGGTCTGATTGCGGGAGCCCTCTCAGATTATACCGGCAGAAAGCCCGTATTAGGCATTGGAGATGTTATCTTCATTGGCGGTGCTATTGCGCAGGCTGCATGCCACACAGTCTCCGCAATTGTAAGATTGCAATTCTACGCATTCACATGGCGGAATGTTAACCGAGAATTATCTCCGGCCAGATCGGAGGACGTTTTCTGATTGGCCTAGGTGTTGGCCTTGCGTCATGTGTTGCACCGATATACATACAGGAACTCTCGCCAACCCGTCTTCGCGGCAGGCTGGTTGTCCTAAATGTCGTTATGATCACGGGTGGTCAGGTCATCGCGTATGGCATCGGCGCTGCTTTTGAGAACATGCATGGCGGATGGCGATGGATGGTCGGACTTGGTGCTGTACCCGCCGCCCTACAGCTGATATTCCTATTCATTCTCCCTGAATCTCGTGCGTTCGGATCTCACTTCCACCTATTGAACTACATTCTCATGGATATTCATTGCATTGCAGCTCGAGTGATGATTGTCAGGGGAAAGTTACAGGAGGCCGAGAACGTGATGCAGAAGATATACTCGCATGCAACTCTGGAACAGGTCAAGCTCAAAGTGAAGGTCTTACAAGTAGCTGTGCAGGAAAGTACCAGGATATCAAAATCGACAACGCTTTTCGAGAGGATGAAATCCGTCCTCCTCACGCCTGTGCACCGGAGAGCTCTAAGTACGTCTTATGCCAGACCAACTTAGCATAGCTGAAATAAATATCTACCCGACTAGTTATTGCATGTGGCCTGCAGGCATTCCAACAGTTATGCGGGTTCAACACGCTTATGTACTACTCTGCAACGCTATTCAAGTCTATTGGCTTTGACCAGCCAACGGCCGTTGGACTGATCATTGCCGGAACAAATTTCCTATTCACACTTGTCGCTATGAAGTATATCGACATAGTCGGTCGGCGGAGGATTATGATCATTTCGTCGCCCGGGATGATTTTTGGGTTAACGCTTGCGAGCGTTGCTTTCCACTGTTTGTACCCTTTCCTTATCTTCAAACTCTTGCTGGCTTACTGAAAACTTTCATCTAGTCCTGACAAAACATACAAACAACGTACTTGTAGACGGCTCCCACTATCCAACCTCATGGTCTGGCGTCGTCCTTGCATCAATGATCATCTTCGTCGCCTCCTACGCAACAGGTCTCGGTAACGTACCCTGGCAGCAAGGCGAGCTTTTCACTCTCTCCGTGCGAGGGATCGGTACTTCGTGTGCAACAGCGACAAATTGGGGAGCAAACCTCCTCATCAACTCAACGTATCTCTCACTCATGGATAAAATCACTCCGTCCGGAGCATTTGGATTTTATGCAGGATTATGCTTACTCGGATGGTTGTTCTGCCTGTTCTGCTATCCTGAAACAGCGGGCCTAAGCCTTGAAGAGGTTACGGAGATATTCGAAAGTGGGTTTGGAATTCGGAGGAGTCAGAGAATGAGAGCAGAGAAGAGGGCTATGAAGGACGAGAATGCAAAGGGAAGACGAGTGCGGGACGTGGAGAAGCTTTGAGCTGATCTTTAGTAGGCGTTCGTCATTGTATCGGTCGAATAGGTGTTGCTTTCATTTTGTACAATCTATTTTGAATGACAAATCGATGAAAAACCCGTCCATTTATGGATCTAGGGAAGTGGCATCAATCTTTACGCTGAACTAATCCACCGGAAGGGGAGTGGTTATGAAAGAAGGGTAATTCAATGCATCCCTTCAATCCTCACGAGTAAACAGTAACATGAATTAGCGAAGAAATTTTTTTGCCATATGCAATAACAACAGACTCCGCACCATGTACCTTGAAGATACTTGTTTAACAGTAAATACAGAAGTCAAAATATCAGATGCTCCATTTTTGCATGTACGTAGCTCGAGGTTAAGTATACATATCATGAGTCTGCAATGCGTAGTGTCTATTCCCGACCACCTTTCATATTACCGCGGTCCGTGCATCGTCACTGGACGCCAGCAACCCAGTTCACTGCCTTTCCCTTACCGATATCATCCAAAATTTCCCTTTCCCTCCTGCTATCCTCCTTTTCCTGCTTTTCCTTTCTTCGTTGAAAACGTTTTCTTATTTTTTCAGCAATGTGTATGATCCGCTTTGTTTGCTTCTCCTCCTTCCGGTGTTCCTCTTCCTCGTCTACAAGTGGACCAGCAATCTGAATGTTCCGCTGCTTCTCACGCAGACAAACATCCAATTTCTCAAGCTGTTCGTCTACCCATTTGTTGGAATTTGCCAGTATCTCCAGGTTCTCTTCCAAAGCTTCGTCCCTAAGTACAGCACGGTCTGGAACACCTTTGGGATCAGACATGGCCTTCAAACGTTTCCCGCAGTCCTTCTCAATTGCCTTGTCAAGATCGTACTTGTTTTTAAAAGAGTCAAGTAAGATATCTATAGTAGTATCCATAAGTTCAACGCGCGACTGAGCAAGCTTTGAGTATCTCTGCAGTTCTGAAACACCGTCCACCTGATTAGGATCGGGAACCTTGCCGTTATTAGCGTTGTTACCTGTGGCAAGTACAAGGTTCTGAGAGATTCCTTGAACACCACCACTGCTGGCACTGCCAGCTGCCGATGGTACACCGGTACCAATGCCAGTTATCTCATGGAACTTGGATTGCAATCGCGTCTGCGTTCTCGACTTTGACTCCGGTTTGAGTTGCGCGACTGGTGGTGGCTGAGGCTGGGATACAGGTTCACCACTGGGGGCAGCCTGCAGCACCTGCGACTTGGCCAGATCAGCATTCGGCTGTCTGTCCGTATCCTGCAAATTCACTTCATCCTGGAGTCCTTCCTGAATCTTGAGTTCTGGCGTGTAGCTAATTCCTTGTCCCTGCTGAGGTTGCGATATCGCCTCAGGTTGTGCCTGTACTTGAGTATCTAGCTGTTTCTCCGTACTCTGCAATTTCACGCCGGCCTGAGGTCCCTCCTGAACCTGGGGTCCTTGTACGTAGTTAATTCCCGGATTCTCTTGAGGTCGCGATGTTACCTCAGGTTGCGCTTGTACTCGAGTATCCGGCTCTTTGTCTGTACCCTGTAAAATTACACCGGCCTGAGATTTCTCTTGAACTCCAAGTACCTGAGCGTAGCCAATTTCTGGATCCTGCTGAGGCTGTGGTAGTACTTTGGGTTGTGCTAGATCTTTTTCTTGCGCTTGTTGCTCGCCTCCAGGTTGTACCTCTACCCACGACTGAGGTTGAGGACCTTGAGCTGGGGTCTGGACATGTGCCTGACCAATCCGTTCCGGTTCAGGCTGCGCTTGTTGTGAGGACTGATCAGCAGGGGTTGGAGTTTTCTCTTGATCATTTTGCTGCTGGACCAGCAAAGGCTGAGATGGTTGAGCTTCAGGCCCCGCCTTGTTCAATTCCGCATTCATTATGCACAAGCAACGAGCGTATCTTCTACCGTATTTAACGAGCGTCCGGAGCTCGAAGAATGACGAACCAACGGAAAGGGCGACGCAACGTGCGTCAACTGCGGTCGTCTCTTATTTGCAGTAATCCTTTGTTACGCGACATGAACGGCACTCAGTACACACGCACACTTTGCAGTGTCAATAGGTAGTCCCCTAATGAAGTAAAATTGCTGATATGACCAAGCGTTTTGCAAAATTGTCCATATGCATATGGGAAATCGGCGTGCTAGAAAATCGTAGGCGTTGAGTCTGCACCGTGATGACAGTGATAGCGATGTTTAGTTGCCATCAACTTTTCTTGACGTGTAGTGACCTTATTCGGTCAGAGTATACACAGGAAAATACTAGCGCCGATGCTGGATCCAAACCGATTTGTCTAGTTAGACTTCCTTGTTTGTTCGACCGGGAAACATCGTCTACCTGTGCTAACGGAATACCTCGCCAATTGATTGGATCCTGGTGTCACATCCTGACCGTTTGTGCTTGATGCATCGGCTGACCAATCAAACAGTATGCACTGTGCGACCAGCACCTGAGCAAAGAAGAGCAGCATTGAAGCGAAGTCATTGCTTACACGAGTACGACTCAGACCCGGATTTGCCACCTGGTGTGGCGACATGACTGGGTTACCAGCCGTCGCCGACGCAATATTGCACAGATAGAGAGAACGCGCGTACTGGAAGAAGGACCATCAGACATCGTCAAGAATGCTGCACGTCGAAGCTTCCTGCCTGGAACAGGGTAAAATGCTCACCAGCAGGAGTCAAGAGTCAAGACGTGATGAATGCTGCAAGGTCTGGACGAGGTCTGTCATCAAGTTGAGGCGTGGGTAAGGCGTAAGTCTAAATTAACGTGCGTGGGAATACGTAACTACAGACTTGGACGGTGACTCGGGTGAGCAGCCAATATTAATTCTACTATAATAAATGCCGGTTGCAGAATTTAGTAAGTTAACCTCATGTCGCCCACATTGACGTTGTTCGGCCCCTCAAAGGCCCGTGTCCAATATGAACAGGCGCACCTTATCCAACGGGCTCTGTTTAACCCCCACCATCTTCGCCGTGTCTGAGTAGGAGACAAGCCCTGATGTTCGTTACCAATGCTCTTGCCAGGATATTTGGCGGCATTGCTGGCTTCTTTGCAGGAATAGGATCGAATATTTTCGTGTTTACCTGGGATTTCGCCCTTTTCCTGCTGAACCTGGTGTCTTTCAAACGAAAGATCGGTGAGGTGACGCTCAAGGGCGATATAGGGTACGGGGGTAAATGGCCCATGTATATCCCACCAACAGAGACGGACAGTCGTTCTGCGTGCCCCGCATTGAACGCGATGGCTAACCACGGTAATAAATTAAACCCCACCTTGAATAAAGAGTAAAGAAGACTAATTGAATTCCTTGATAGGAATCTTGCCTCATGATGGGCGAAATATTTCGTACAAAGAAATGAGCATTGCTATTCGGAAGATGTACAACTTTGCGCCGTCTTTCTGTTACTTCGTCCCGAAGTACATGGCAGAGCTTCTTACACGAGACCATACGCGCGATACGATCAATCTGTCTGATATTAGTGTCCACAATGGCATTGAACACGACGCGTCCTTAACTAGTAAGTTCGAGTCTACTCCTCTGACATCTTTCAAGATACGAAGTGTCAACTATTTGCTTGCTTGCAGGACATGACGTATACCATCAACCAGATCAGTCAAAACCAGCCCTCGACATCATTGACGACTTGCTGGCGTCTGCAACCGGACCGGACAATACGCTCACCCCTCACGACCTTTCGGTTGTCTCTACCAGGCGGCGCCGACAAGCCCGAGCGACGAACAGCACATTTACGCTCTCAACCTTTCACAAACTCTTTGGGAGCTCAAAGTCTGTATTTATTTTCTACTATATTCCTTTACTCATGATGCCCAACGAATGTTCTTAGTTCGTCGACTTTGCTAACTATTTTCGGTGGTCGTGTATCTGACCTGGAGATCGTTCTGAAAGAAGAGCGCATTCCTGATGGCTGGGAGTCGCGGGTGCGTGACCCATGGGGTTTGACCTTCGCCACGTTCAACAACACCGTCTTTCGCGTTGAGTTGGGAATTGAAGGGTTCAAAGGGCCATCCGTCATTGTACGTGAATCGAACAAGAGGAGTTCGGAGGTTAAGTCGGAGATGAATGAGAAATAGAGACCGGGGAACGTAACACTTCCGTTCTATAGCTGGGTTCTGGTCTTGCTTGCATCGCACTATGTCACTTTGGACGTGTTGCTGCTTTACCTTTTATGTTGGAAATTGACTTGTTATATCTGTCGCTTGCCTTATTTCCTATAGCTGCCTTCTATCGCTCCATTGAATATTAGCAGTCCAATTGGCTAATCTTGTCCCGAACACTGCGAACAGCGCGTGCAGGGACAAAAGAAGTTGACTTGAGCGGAATTAGTATAGCTTCGAAGCTGTCAGTTATGATAGGATTTTGAATTTGCCTTTCACTCACGTAATTCCTCTTTACCTAGAGTCTTCCATGCTTCAAGTAATCTCGGGAAGCGATGATCCAGCAACAGAATATATGTATCAAGAAAAGTCTCAAGTATTACAATCCAATAAACTATGTAGTATTTCGAAGATCTAAAAGATAGTCTCTTTCACTCTACGGCTCAGAACAAATAATTAGCATAGTATTGCACTTGAGTGGCTCCGGATATTTGATACAGTGCATTTATCCGTTGGTTTAATACAACAAACTAATATAGTCCTTGTTAAATATCGAGAAATAGTCCTTGTTACTTTAAAGACCACTGTTTTGTATTTTATTTTAAGCAGGGCCTAAATATAGTATACAGCAAGCACCTTAATATGTCGTGCGTGCAATAGGCTGTTTGAATGTCTTCTTGTATCTTTCAAAGCTATATGAATATCTTTAATTTATCTGCCTGATCAGAAATTTGTCTTAACACTTACATTATACAATTTAATCGAAGCATAACCATGTCGGCGATTACTGCTGAATTGTATATGCGAAGCCTCTACCTGTCGTTAGGTTATTCATTCCCCGTCCCTCGAGGATTGTACTCTTTATCATCCTTTAGTTGTATGCCTCTGGCTACTTGATGAATCTGACCTGAGCTGATTCACCAATATGCCTAATTCCAAAGTACTCACATATGCAGTATAGAAAACATCGACACAAGACAGGTAGATCGATTTTATCAAAAAAATCATACAGATGATCCAAGAGACCAACAAGAAATACTACGCTCTCTCAAGATTTGTTGCCCCACTGAGTCAAGCCTATAGCTTGCTCTTCTCCACTTTCTTCACATATGCAATGCCTCCACCAATGCAAACCTTCCCAGAGGCCAAGTTCTTCGTCTCGAACGTGACCTCAGTCGTGCCATCTGGACCTGTGCCCACTTCCCAGATGGACGTTTCAAGCGTGTCTCCAGGGCGGACAGGACTCGTGAAGCGACCACCGAAGAACCGTAGAGAAGAGGGTTGGTTTCCACCTACTTGAGCGAGTACCGCGCGTGCGGCGAAACCGTAGGTGCAGAGTCCATGGAGGATGACGCCGCCAAAGTTAGCTGCTTTACCAATGCTGGGGTCTGGAGAAACGTTCAGCACAACTCGGCAAGTGAATCAAGGTAGGGAAAACAAACCAATGTGCAAAGGATTATAGTCCGCAGTCAAACGGTAAATAGCGGCTTGTTCGGGCGACGTCTGTTCCGTGGTGACCCAATCTGGCTTTCTGTCCTTTGGGATAGCCTTTGCTGACGGTGGTCCCGCGATCGTTTTCGAATATCTCTGTCCAGTAATCTTTGCTCCGACATTGAATGCCGAGTTCTAAGAACCAATCGGTCAGAGTGTCATACGATTACAGAATCAGCGTCGACGTACATAAAACTTTGCGTAAGCTGTGCCCGACGGATCAACAAGTACATTTTCGTGGTCAACAATGACACCGGACTCTGTCAAGATGATTAAGGGAGAAACACATTTCATTTTGGATAAACATACTATTCTCGTGTACGCCAACTATACGAGACTTGACTTTCCATCCGGAACCACTCACTAGCGGCAGAGGCTTGAGTATTTCAAGTGACTGCGAGCCGTGCACCTATTTGTAATCGTCAGAACCAGGTTAACATTATAGGAAATACGGAAGAATAGGACGTACCACGCGATTTGGGTCAAACGATGGTAGACCGGGAGCACCTTTTGCCTTGACACGATCTTTAAACAGATTTACATCTTCACTCTCTCCTTTGAGAGGTAAAGCAACGGGATACGTCGGAAACGCAGCAAACCCAGGGTCTGGACACAAATTATAGGATTGTCGTCTATACATGCTCAACAACGCTAGAATAATTCACATTACCGAGCTCTATAGCGCAAAATAGGTATAAATTCCAATAATCTCCATAAAAATCAGCTGAAATGCTCACCATAAACGAACTGTAGGTCATCCTTCTTGAAGCCGATTCCCACAGCGTATAAGAGTAGGTCGCGACGGTTCCAAGCGACCTGCAATACAAAGATTTGCTTGAATTTTCACAATAGCTGTCAATTTCACGTACTGGTTCGTTCCGAGTTTCGAAGCCGACAGCTTTGTCTAACTCGGCGGCCATGATGGTCAAGACGAAGTAGAAGTACAGTAATACTAGAACAACTTGTGACCAACTTAGAACAACCGGCAACTCGATACCCGGATCGACGCTGACCCAATCTGGTAGCCAGTAATTTGCTGATTTTAAAAGATTTTATCTTCTTGTCAGTTCGACAAGGGCCCGTTCTTCTAGTGTTCAGGATGTCGGTCAAACCCCTAAAGGAAATGTTAGAAGCGACGTATGCTACTATAGAGAAGAGACTACCACCCACTCTGCTGGCTCCGAAGGTCGGCATCGTTTGTGGATCTGGATTGAGCACACTGGCGGATAGTTTTCATGATCCTGTTCTGGTGCAATACGCGGACCTCGAAGGCTTTGGAACAAGCACTGGTATGTCTTTAATCTTGAATTCAATATTCCGAATCTCTGAATAACATCACTAGTCCCGGGTCACAAAAGTATTCTTGCTTTTGGTCTAATCGGGGATGTCCCAGTCGTAGCAATGCTCGGCCGGGTGAGCATTGTTTTTGTATTTCATGCCGTCTAAAGGGATTCATGATGGATTCGGCTAGCAAGTTTCACCCTTATGAAGGCTACCCACTTACGACCGTAACGTATCCGCTACGTGTAATGAAGAAGCTTGGTGTCGAGCATGTTATTAGTGCGTCTCTAACGATCCCACGACTTGAAAAGTGAGCTAATCGACTTTATGTATAGTCACAAATGCAGCAGGATCGCTTAACCCTGATATTCCAGTTGGGACGAGTATGGTTCTGGTCTAGCTTATCTATTCTACTTGTGCATTAATATGATATTTGATCTAGTCGTCGTTATCCGCGATCACTTCGCTCTCCCAAACCTTAGTGGAGCACTACACCCTCTACTCGGGCCTGTAACCTCCCCGTCCCATCTACGTTTTCTGCCTTTATCCGATGCATATTCGCCCCATCTTCGACGACTGGCATTTCTCGCTTCACACACCCTCGGTTTGGGCTCTGACGCATTAGTGGAGGGAACGTACGCATGGGTATCGGGACCAACATACGAAACACCTGCAGAAGGACGCATGCTACGTGCTGCGGGAGCAGATGTCGTTGGCATGAGTACGATTCCTGAAGTGGTAGTTGCAAGAGAGGAAGGAATGAATGTCATGGTGCTGAGCCTTGTTACGAATATGGTTGTCATACCGGACCAATATCGATCCATCAAGGCAGAGGTGGAGGCAGAGGTGAGCTCCCATGATTTGCTCATCTCATTTATTGACATTTGCTATTCTGCTACTAGCTTGCTGGGAAAGAAGTGGTACTGCCGGTGATAGCAACTGTATCGCATGCAGAAGTACTTGAAATTGGAAGGATCAAGGCGGACGTCATGAAACAACTTGTTGAGAAGATCGTTTGCGATATCCCGAAACCCTAGAGCCGTTCGTTTCTTACACAATAGATTAAGGACATTACACATGTCCTATGTAGACGGGTCAAGTAAACATTATCACAGTGTGTATAGAGTTACAATTTCATGCTTTACAGAATGTAGTGCTTCCATCGAATAATATCATGAGACTTTATAGTAGTAATAATTTATACAGGTCGTGTCGTGTTTCCCGTCCTCCACAATCTTGGGGGCATAGTATCTGCGACTACTTCTGGTGTATCCTTTTAGGTGATCTGTCTAATGACAGTGCCCTCGCACAGCTTGTGCAACATACGTTGAGAAGCACGTAGCTCGAACATAGGCCATGGGACTGTGTCAGGGGCTCTGCTTGCAGAGCTCTGGCGCGTAAATAATTTAAAAAGACCATATTCCATCCTCACGAGCCCTTTGTGCAGACAGTTAGTATGTGCTGCACATTGATAAACCCAAGGATTGCAAACCCTCCTATGGGGCACCAGTTACTGAGACGGCCTAACGTAATTGTGCTATGGAGGGCGATGATTCGAAGCCCGAATAATTGCGTCTCGCTTAAACCAGGACTGCTCTTCCACAAAATCTTCGTGACACTTATTAACAGTCGCAGTTATTCTACGCGGCACAGAACAAACGAGGGTTTTAACCACTTCCATACCCCTTGCCACTATCTCACTTCCTGGTCAGTGGATGCACTATGTTACATTGCAGTTGTCCTGTTCCATATGACAAAAGTGATTCAGACGAACGCGCAATTTAAAGTTCATCGTGGGCGGTGCTGCAACCAGTAGCGGAACATTCCGTATGCAAGGATGCCTAAGGTTATCAAAAGTGCTGCTGTCATTCGGAAACTCAGACTTGCTTCTTCGTGTTCGACCTATGCACTATTAATCAGCCTTGATGGACCTTTTAAAATTATATAGAGACTTACGATGGAAGTAAAAGGAGATAGAATAGGTATAGTGAGATGAGGTCGAAACGAGCGTTTAGAATGTTTATCGTCTGATTGTCCTTGATGTCGAAAGAGAAGCACAAGCGTGATTAGAATTATTGTTGAGATTAATCCAATCTGCAGGGAGAGGGGATGTTTTGCTTAATATGAGACAAGCAAAGAATTGGAACAGCGCGTACTGCGAGTCGTTCCAGGCGCAAAACGCGTTCTTCATGATACTTATGTGCGAGGTCAGCCATACTCTGTCATAGAATATATTTGAGTATGAACTGTCTTTCTTTTTACAGAAATAAATTAAACATGCCTGACGCCTTAGCTCCTCCTTCATTCGCTCAAGGTTATCCGTCCGAAGTCCCTTGTGCTCCGCCAGCTTTGTTTCCGCAACAATTGCACGATATGCCCAGTAACGCTCTGTCTCTGTCATTGGCGCAGGAACGTACGAGGAATAATACGTATTCATGTTTGCTGTCTGGTGCACCGATGCTGGGGGGCGTCGCATCAATCTGTCCATCTCAGAGGCTGGGCTTGAGCTCGATGCTGCCACATAGTCCGCTTGGCCTCGCGCATGTGACATTGTTCGAGAGACAGCTGAAGAGACAGGACGAGCGGATTGATACATGTTAGAATAGTCTGACGAGTGATACCAAGCACCTAAACCCGAGGCGTTGGATGGCTGCGGCCAGACAGACTGTGACATTCCAGTAGTGTACCAGTCCTCCTTCTGGGTTTTTCGCAATTTAGCCATTTGCGAGGGACTGGAACGGACAAGGAGTGCCAATGTGCTGTGCTGTGCTGAAGACGCGTTTGACGGATCAGGACGCGTTCCCATCACGTGATCATTTAACCATGAGACGAACAATAGATTATGTAATGTGCTTAATCTGGGACACGTTTGCAGCCCGTGTTGTCTACCACGACAACCATGGACTCACCCTTCCCCGAGAGCGACTCGTCGCAGAGCGAACGTAGAAAGGGAAAGCTACGGGCTGCCCCTGAAGAAATCTCGGAAACGACTCCTTTGCTTGGTTCCTCGCAACCACTGATTCGAGATGACGTGCCTCCCACAAGCAGCTTCCGAAATCGCAGGCGATTGCTCATCCTCCTATCAACAGTCTTCTTGTCGACGCTGGGTTTCTGCCTCATAATAATTGTTATCCTCTTAGCCCTTACCTACTCGTATTCTCCGAAAATAACGAATGCCGTTCGTGATGAAGTGCTCGATCGTTCGGTGGTAATACGTGGTCCGGATCGCGTGGACGTGGTGAATGCCACGGAAAGCTCGGTCTGGGCACAAGTGGACTTGAAAATTGGAGTGGATGTTGGGACCGCCATTGATATTGTACTGGAAACGGATAACAAGAGACTGGATTCTGGGGTGACAGCCATTCGAAGAGCTCTTGGACGTTGGCTTATACGACAGATGCATACAGTAACAGTTTCAGCGGAGTACGCTTCCCTATATTCAGAGAACAAGAATATTGCGAATGTGGCGGTTCCATCTATCACGTTTCCCTTGACGGTCGACCGTCCCGATGATGACACTTGGTTAACGGATCTCTCTCTAACTGTGCATATTGACGTCACAGACAATGCTGAAGATATGAGCACGATTGCAAGAGAGGCATGGAAAAGCGGCGTGCTATTGGTGAACACAGTCTTGCACAACGTTTCAATCAACGGAGGAACGAAAGGTGATCGCAGTTGGAGACGACATCTCAAAGAGAAGCAGGAAATTATGGTCTTGCAATCCCGGATCAAAGGTGTGACCTTACATGGTTTATTCCAGTTTGCTCACATTCTCACCAGAATGATCTAGTCCCAGAATTACCTGGCCTTCCTAGTCCAGGCAGAGGCACGCCGTTTCCTGAGCTGGCTGACTTGGTCACTCTGGAAACTTTCAATATTTCGACGGTTGACCATAATGTATCTATCAACGCTACTGCGTCTCTCGTAAATCCCTTGTCTACCTCATTATCAATGCGCATTCCGTCTCTTCCTTTCTTTGTCGCTTTGTCCGACGTGAACAAGTCTGACACGACAGTGGTTGTTACGTCAGGCAAAGTCGAACAGTTCACGCTCACCCACCCTAATATCACTCTACACCTTAATGGAACCGTTCCTCCGCTTCCTCGGTCTTCCTCGCCTCTCCTCTCCGCGTTCCTTTCCGCTTATCTTGCCGGAGTGGACGCGCCCATCGTAGTTGGAACACCGCTGTTATCGGCCCTCAAAATGCCTGCGTTCTTCCCGGCTCCCAATCCGAAACCACAAATACTCCGAGACGTACATATAAAGAATATGCGTATTAGTCTACGAGGAGAAAGCGTTCTTGCGAGCGGGACAATCTTTGCGCATGTTGTTCTGCCCACGGGAGTCCACGTGCTTGTGGATGCGAAAAGAATTTGGCCTGACGTTCTTGTATTTGATGGTGAAGTTCCGCCAGATGATGAGGATGAAATTGGAAGGAACGTATTTCTCGCCGACGCGGATGACTTTGTCTATCCCTCGAGTACCACATCAGGTGAAGAAGACGAAGACCGGGTAGACGTCCCAAAAGATCCGCTCCCTTCACCGCTCCCTCCTCGTGCTTTTGCACGCATTCGACCAGATGACTGGCTTCCCGCACATAGCGAACCCATATCAGACTCGAATAACGTCTACGAAGTCACAGCAAAAGTTGTCGACGTTCCGCTTGAAGTGCTCCCAGGCCGAGATCACTTATTACGGAGCTTTGTGTCGAAGGTCTTATTTAGCGGACGAGAAGGCGCACTTGCAGGTGTCAAAGGCACTGCTGCCGTGGCTGTCACTGTTGATGGTTTACCTGTCGCGGATGAGGGTGGTGATAGGGAGGACGAGGATGATCATGTTTTTGAGTTGCTCGGTCTACCTTTTTCTGGGAGTGTACGGGTTGGGAGAAAGACTATTTGACGCATTGCTCAGCTCCTCGCTCCATACTAGTTTTGATGGACTCTATTAGCAAGCTATCAAATCGATTTATTGTATGTACTTAAGCCCAATGTTTTGCACACATGTAATATTGTTTGTAGAGGTACAATACATCACTCAACATCCACGACCTTCTCTCATGTTTCAGTGTGTGACTTGACGATTTGTAGTCTAAGCACGAACAATACAGAGGTACCAGAATTACTTATCCACGTGGGTCATTATGATATCCTGCATATTAAGCACCCAGGATAGACTTGTACTCCAGAATCCGAACGCGGTGCTGGTATGGATTCCGTTATTTAGTGCATAACGTAACCAATGCAAAGGTTATATCATTGCTTGGATCTGAATTTTTGGCTTAATGCTATAAGTAGAGCATCTGTTCTGGCACATGGTTCTGGTTCAACATTCTATACGACAAAAATGGCCGAACTTGACCGTGACTATATCGCTGTCAGCAAATTAATACTGAGGTGACTTTAGACGATTGTTTTCAATCTAATGATAACCTACGTAAAATATAAACGTTCCCTTCCATAACTGTCTCGTGAATTCTGCTCTGCACTAGGTTCAACTCGCTCCAGATACCGCACCCTGCTGAGTCTGCTCCTTCACCGCTATTAAATTCATAACATATTGAAAGTTGTCCTGCTTCTTCGTAAGTGCTTCTTGCAGCGTTTCGATGTTTCCCTTGACAAAGTCGATCTTTACGGTATAATGCTTTGCTGCGTCTGCTCGGGACTGTTCGTAACATTGCACAACGTTCAGCATGAATTAAAATAATTCAGAATCAGATAGGAAAGATATGCAGGACCGGAACAACGAACCTTTTTGACATAGTAGCCTGTCCCAACATCGACGATGACATGTTCAAGATCAGATAATTTACCCGGGACGTAGAGCGAGTTCGTTAGTGGGACCAGAATTTTTCGTTCTATGTCATTTATCGAGTCAGTAAACTTAGCATGTTCATGCAGCTTCGATATGACGCACCAGCATTGGCAGAATTCACTTCAGTGACATTGGATAGACATGTGCGAAACTTTGCCTGTGCGAGTTTGAGTTGTTGGAAGGATGCAGTCAAGTGTGTTAACTCCTGCACTTTGACATGATTATCGGGCACATAAATTAGCCTCCGCCACCCGAACCAAATTAAGCGTTTATTCGCACCTCTTCGAGTTGTCTTCTGACATCGCGCAGCTGTGAGACGTCGAGGTCGGCGACGTTGACCATCTGCTGCTGTTGCGGTTGAGGCCCCGACATTGTAGTCGCGGTCAAAGAGTGTTGTCGTTCACCACGACTGTCATGTCACCTTGTGCCAGAATACTCAATCCTAAATTTTTCGCAACGGAAGGTATATTTAATCGTAATAAATCCCATTCATATTTAACTAACATTCCTCGTTCATGCCGGCTATAGCGTTGTTATCGATGACCACTCAATATTGAGCGCATTACCTGGGGAGGAAAGGCACCTTTGCTTTTGGTGGTATACATCTCTAAATTGGCAAATGCACTTGAGCGTCGGGAAAAAGAAGATGAATAACTGAATGGCGTGTGCATACTGTCAGCTGCTCCCAGAAGCCGTGTGTCCATCTGTTCATCATCCTGGACAGGCAATCGTCCCAAGGTCTGCTGTTATCAGAGACAATTTAAAGGCAACGACATTAGTGCCATTGTGGCTCGTCTTCTTTCCATCGCAATCCTATAGCGAACGAACGTCATGTCTGCCCCAGCCAGCTTACCAACAACAGAGGGCAGGTTGCCTTTCGTTGTCGGATCAGAGACATTCGAGACCTATTACAAAGTCTTCGGCGTACCATCCTCCGGAATTCCTCTCGTTACACTCCATGGCGGTCCCGGATCAGCACACTATTACATTCTGCCAATGTCCGATCTTGCTTCGCCCACACGCGCAGTAATTTTCTACGATCAAATCGGGACGGGCAACTCCACGCACCTCAGAGATAAGCCTGCAGAGTTCTGGACACCACAGCTCTTCATGGACCAGCTTGCAAACCTTCTTTCGAAACTTGGAATTGCCGGACAGTATGACCTGCTGGGACATAGTTGGGGTGGAATGCTCGGTTCACAATTCGCTTCGACCTTCTCGGGACCAGAAGTTAAAGGCCTGCGCCGACTCATTCTCAGCTCTTCCCCGGCGAGCATGGAGCTCTTTCAGCGTAGCTGCGCGAGATTGATTAAGCAGTTACCCGAGGATGTACAGGCGACTCTGAAGAAGCACGAAGATGCTGGAACGACAGACTCAAAGGAGTACGAGGACGCCGTGGGCGTGTTCTATGAACGGCATTTGTGTCGTGTGAAGCCAATGCCAGACGACGTTGTCAAATCATTCGGTTGCATGGCGGAAGACCCGACAGTGTATCATACCATGTAAGTGCTCGGATATCTGTCCCTTGCGGTGTTATCTAATTCGCCTACAGGAATGGACCCTCCGAGTTTCATATCACTGGTTCCTTGCGCTCCTGGACTATAATCCCCTCCATCTCTTCCATAAAAGTGCCGACGCTACTTATCAACGGTGCCTATGATGAGGCCCAGGACGACAGTCTTCAGCCCTTCTTTGACAAAACCCCACGCGTAAAGTGGGCCGTGCTCGCTGAAAGCAGCCATATGGGTCATTTTGAGGAGAGAGAACGGTATATGCGTATCGTCGGGGATTTCTTGGGGAACAAACAAACTTGAATGAGCGTGAGTGTCAAAAATTCGACACACAACTATATAACTTAATGGTTTTTACAGAATATGTAGTCCATAAAATAAATAACCATGTATTCCATACGTCCGAACTGCCAGCTTAATCCACATCCTCATCGAATTTCTCGAAATATCTTCTTCCGAAGTGTCTAATCGTACGCTGGCGAATACTTTCTGTCTGTTCTTCCATCTTTTTGTGAACATCTGACATCTCCTCCTCGATCTTTGCCATGTGCTTCCTTGCCTTGTTCCATTGTTCCTTAAGCGATTCCAGGCGCGCTTGGAGTCCACTATCGAGAAATGCTGACTCGACGAACTCCAGGTAGTGCAGTGTGTCGAGGTGATCGCGGAGGTGGATTACCTGGAGGGAGTCGCGTACGCTTTCTTCCGGATCGAGACCGGAAAGCTTGTCTCGTGCGCCGAGATACAAGTCCAACCACTCTCGTCTTCGCTGTACCCTTTCCTTCTCGCTCTTTTCTATGTTGCTTTCTCTGAGCACCTTTGTGACGCCATCTCCGACTTCTTTGCTAAGCACGTGGACTCGACCTTCAACAAGCTTGTCCAGCTTCTTCATTGCTCCCGCTGCTTCATCTTGAAGGCGCTGTGCGGAATGCTCAGAGATGGTGAGCGTTATCTCTCCCCCCGCCGACGACTTCTTCGTTACTTTTGACTTCGTCACTGTTATTTTTGTCTTTGTCTTTGTCTTGGACTTCGACTTGCGACCCATTTTTTATAGCCTGCGACTTTCTTATGCTGTTTGTGGGTTTGGTAAGGGGTCGACCGACTTAGATGGCGGTAACCTGGCGTATTTTCTGGAGCGCCGCACGCCTTGTAGGTATTGGTCTGTTATGTGGGCTGAAGAAAACCGATGTGGCGGAAATGCTCGTTTATGACCCATAAAAAATAGCCTGGTGAGACAGTGCAAAGTACCAAGTGGGATTAATCTTGTACAAAATTGGTATCAGCTCGAATCCAGCTTTCCCCATAATACTTGATGTGACTCTTACTGCATCGGCAATAATGTTGGACCCATATGCTTAGCTGTCATTGGATACTGGGTTGAATCCATACTGGATGGTGATACGCACTCTCTGCTACTTTCGTCATGTACGACTTACTGACAAGTGTGTGGCGTCCGAGAAGTAAAACGTCTCCGCTTAGAAACTCTGCATGCTTTAGAGATGCGGTGACATTACCCGTGAAGTCTGATCTAATAGATGACTCGCATGTGCATATCCGAAATGCATATGCACCTCCCATCTCCTCAGTCTTTTGAAACATACTCATCTTGGCAAGGGTTGTAGGATTGTTAAATTATCCTTTTTTGACAAACGACAGAACCCCAAAATTGTTTGTCATTATAATATTATTTGCTCTTGAGACTACATGGCAAAGAGGTTACGTGCTCTTGGTGAAGGTAATGAGAGTAGAGGTAAAACGCGTCAACAGAAACAAATAATTATTACCATAGACCGCGCGTCGATCGCGTTCTTGCAATGAAGTTGCATCCTTCCAAGCTCTCCAGTCCAATAGCCCAATCATTGGCATCAATCGACTAAACCTCTAAAACGACAGCAAAGAGGAATGCCTTACAAAGATGTAGACCCGCTTGCGGACACTATTTCTCCGCGCTATGCATATGAATCGGATGACGAAGACGAGACTGGGCTTGCAGACGTCGATCTTAGTTCTGGGACAAATATTGCTCCCGACGTACCTGCTGTGGAAATTACCTTCCTACCAGACGAGAAGAAGCAAGAGGAATATGGAAATATTCTAATAGTTGCGAGTGGTGTTGTGGGAGCTGTGTGGGCGCGTGGTGCACACCTTGGTGAACAGGTCGGGCAGGTGAACGTCAATAAACGTGCGGTGCGTCTAACTGAGGCCGTTTATGCATTATCCTCCGAGCCTAAATATGTGTGATAATTCTAGGTTGGACTGGTTTTCCAGCCATCATGGACTAGCCAGGGTACGAAAGGCACGGTCCTCGTGTCAGAGGCATTCGTACGCCTTCCTGTATGGGCGATGAACGCGTATGCAGCAGCTGTACTTGAGCGTTACAAGCCATCCAAGTAAGCATGCCAATATTATACGCGCCATTATAATCTCTTTTGTTATACGTCTCTTGACTGACGCATATACGCAGGGTTATTCTACTTGACGCTTACAGTACTGCGACATACATCTCTCTGATTCCCATTGCTCATCACGAAGCTCCGCTACGGTATCTAAGTACTGTAATTGTCTATTCTGTTCCTATGTCCCTTGTTTGTACTGCTTCTAATAAAAGTAACTCTCTTCGATAGGACCGCACACCACCTTCGTCAAAGGCACCGCTCTCCCTTTTTACGCCTCCAAATCTACTACAGTCCACGACGGCTGCATTTCTTAACCTACTTGCCCTTCCGAATATCCCATCGCAGTCTCAAAAATCGAAATTTGGTTTAGGAATTCTAGTCCCTTCCAGGCGTGCCCCGCTTCCTACTCCCAGGAGCCTTTCTCGTGAAGACGAAGCGGATACAGAGACGAGTGCCATTCTTAGCTTAGCTGCCCTTGCCAGTATAGAAGACTCGGAGGATTGGGATCCTGCATTATTGAAGGCGGCTCATTCAGCTGTATTCGAGGCTGCAGGGCTAGGTACATCAAGTGCTGAATGGACAGACTCAAGATCTTCAGAGAGGAAAGGAGAAGGAGTGAAAGCCAGCCCAAAACGACGAAGGTTCATCGAAACGGAAGGAGGCATGTACATATGAAGAATAAAATATCAATATAAGGATAGGATTTCAATTTGGAATATGGATCTTGATAACCACGAATATAATGAATCCCGATGTGGAACAACGTGTACTGGTCGATTTCCGCATGAACTAATACGACGGCGTCCGCTTTTTTTAACTTCATGGCACTCTAAAATCTAAAGACTAGCGAACTTCACGAATCGTATTCCTAAGGTACTCTAGAAACCGGCCCATTCTTGCTATCGTCGACGAACAACCCCTCAGACGAGGCTTCGCTATCACATTCCGGCGGAGAAAATTGAATGTCCTGGGTATGATCTAAGTCATGTAACGAGTCGTCTGCTGCACGCCAAGTTGACATTCGAAAACTATGCTGTGTTCCAAATTCGCAAGTCCGCGAGTAGTTGGAGCGGAGGTTGAGTACGAGCCGTTGGGTCATTATTCCAGAGACTGCGGTGGCAAAACCAGTCGGGACTTCTGAGTATCGTTGCTGAACGATGCAGCCACAATAAGTAAGGGCTTAACTGGTAGATGGTAATGAACACTTACACTCCGGATTGGCGCCATGATCAAACAAGCTAAATAGACCACGAAGATCCTAATCTCAAAGAAGATGTGTGTCAGAAATAGTACCTTCATTGTGGATAATTTAGAACATACGCAAGATAGAACAACATTGAGTCCCTGATCAATATTTCCATCAATCTACTGCCTCCATTAGCCGCCCTCCAGCATAAAATGTCTTCACAATAACATCTGTATGCCTTAATACACACCATAGAAAACAGGAGTGTCTCAAAAAGCAGCAGCTGTCCCCAGTAAATCCAAGACTTTCCATCTGGAATAGCCGCCACTTGACAAAACTTGAAGTCAAGACCAGGGAGCGAGGTTGAAATCACTATCATACATTTCAGACTCCCGCTGAGAAGCACAGAGAATGTAAGATGCGATGATGCTTACTCGGAGTACTCATAGCAAATTTTGTGAGCTCCCAGATAGATAAAGCAGAGATTATTCCAAGGGTACCAAGCATCATAGTAAGAACCTTTTTGCTTTCGGAATACAATGCATAAGCTCGCATTATAAGAATTGCTGGAAATAAGTCCCATGATCATGCATTATTATTGTATAAAGCGACTAAAATTTACTGCAAGATGCTTACTGTCTGTCAGAATGAACAAGAAAAATGTTGCAAATGTCTGATAATCTGACCACATTGTACCTGAACAACAGTGTATGTGTTAATGAGGCTTCAAGGATTAGATGGGATTAAAATAATTATAAAAAACATACATCTGATAGAAAATAAGTAATACGTGGTGTAAAGTTTTGGATTAGAAAGTAATCTTTGGGCATCAAAATGTACTATTTGTAAACTGACATCTATTGTCGAGGAATGTTTAGTACTGTTCGAGAGACAAAAGAGAGCTGACCTTACATTTGAAGTGACAGAAGGATAAAAGAGTGCTTTGCAAATTTTCGACACAGTAAATTCAATTGTTACGACTTCTCTGATTTTACATACCTATGGTCGTTGCACTGTAATATTTTCTGAGTCGACAGAACGTCTATTCTATATATCAAACACTTACGTTTTTTGAAGAAGTGTGAGGTATCGACACTGTGTACCGTTAATCCAATTTGGTTCACTCCAAGGAATATGCTACACACAAAGAGGAAAAGGGCTTTGCCTAACGACCAGCGTGCCTTCTGCATAAGTAGTGCATTGCCAGAAATTAAGTACAGAGCATGTCCTATAAAAACAATACTCACCCAAATTAATTTAACCTCTTGGTCAATTGTGATCACTATTATGACGTTAAAGATGCATGTAATAATAAATTAGCAATACCTGCATACAAACATCATAGACGAAAGCAGAATAAGCTGCAACTGAAACGGTTTAGGTGGAGGATTTAATAAAGTACGCACAGGAGGTACTCACGTTGACATATCCTGTTTAATTGCAAAATGTTCAAAGATGCTATTTGCATCTCTGTTATAGCTTGGCTGGTGTTGTCCATCCTTTGCCACAGGGCACAAGGGGAGGAAGTCTCCAAGACGCACCTTATACGAGGCCTCAGACACGGCCATCTACTGACCTTTGGAGCTCGAGGCACTTTCCTGAAACACAATCAGCCAGGCTATAATTATAATCAATTGTTGTAGGTCGGGGGTTTGGAGAGTGCGACTTCTCTACATATCTCCACGTCGCCCAATGATCAAACAGCTCCCCCTGTAGGGTAGATTGAATGACCTGGCCTTTGAATTTATCCACTGAAACTGATAGGCACAACTACTTCCCGGAATGCGGGGTAGCAGGTGGGTTTTGGACTGTGGTCAAGTACACGAATCCTCGGCAGATATCTGGCATTCAAACGGAGAATCTGAACTTACTAGACATGGTGCGTTTCATCACTACGAGCGGCAGCCATCCATTCAAATGACTTGCTGTTGGTTTAGTGTTTGCGATCCAATCCGTTATTGATTCCAAGGCCAACACACGAGCACTCAAAATCCCCGATTTGAAAGCGACGTTAGTCAACACGAGCGAAACTGCGATAAAATTACCACGACATACAACTCAAAATACACAACAATTTCTGGTATACACCGGTACCAACGATAATACAATACACATGCATCCCAAACATCAAAAGAATAACCGAGGAGGGTGCAAGCAAACACTTCTTCCGCCAATATCCCCGCCGCGAAGAACCCGCCAAATTTGGCATCACCGAGGATAAGATGAATAGGAGCTCTGCTGGTACTGCCCGAAGGTCTGGGGTGGAGGTGGAGGAAAAGGTGATGAGATTGCTGCTGGCTGGTGTGTCAACGGCTGGCTACGTGGCGGTGAGCTCTGTGCATGCGCGTTTCCTCCGTATTGCTGTTGTTGTTGGTAGGAAATGGGAACTGGTGGAGGTGGAGACGGAAATGGAGTCCCTGTGTTCTGCTGTCGGGTTTGGGGTTGGCTACCATATCCGTTTGCTTGAGTGTATTGCGGCTGCTGCTGCGAATACGGCTGGTACTGAGTTTGCGCATAGCTTCTTTGGTTGTGGTCGAAAGGAGGGGAGGTCGTCGGAACAGGTGACGGATTTCCATTGTTTAAGAACTGTGTTGATAAGCCCGAAACGCTGAACATATTCGCGTATGGATCTGACGATGCTTGCTGGGGAGGTGAAGGAGTGGAATAACTTCCCGGGACCCTCGGAGGTGGAGGAGGCAAAGTTGAATAAGGTGCATTATGCACACTCGAAGGAGGCGGAGGCGGACGTGACGGCGGCGATGTGCTGTCCCGTAGATTCATCGACCCAAATGATGAGTTTATGTTATTAACGGATGGTGTTTGTCCCGTAGCCAATGGACGAGGTTTCTCCGCTAATGGCGGCGGTGCACTTGCGTTCTTTTGCCGCTCAGCTTCGGCAACTAACGCATCACGTTCTGCAACGCGCTCTGTAACGAAAGATTTCACGTTTCGTCTTAGACTTGTACACAATTCTGTCAGATCACGATAGAATTGTAACCCTTTCCTGAACAGCGGAACCATACATTGAGCTAATTTTCTCATTAAAACAAATGAATGGAAAAACGTACGCCAAGCCGTCCCGCACTTCCATGTATCCGTCACGAGCGCGAGTGAACCTGCGCATCGTGTCTTTCTTCCTCTTCTCGCGCTCTTCCCACTTCCGTGCACCTGGTCCACGGCCAGCAAGGTCTTTGAGGCCTTTCCACAATTGCGTGATCTCACCAAGGACAGCTTGTTCGTATTGCACAGTAGAGATCAGACTGTTCTGGAATGGCTTGAATTTCTCGAGCTCTGCTGCGAACAATGCAGGTTCTACTGCTTGATTGCGACGGTTCAAGAGTAGTAAATGTGAGACGTCGTCCGACTGAATCTGTGACGGAAATTAGGATGCAGTTAATACGGAAACTTAAAGTCAGCTGCAAACCTTTTCCTTCAAATCCTTCAATACGTTCCTCCTTTCCGTCGAAATCTTGTTCAAGCGCAGTAACCTTTGTTCAATCTCATCAATGAATCTAGTGATCTTCGCCCGCTCTTCCTCGTCCCTATCCTCGTTATTCGGATCCAAATCTAGCAAACTGCCTCCGGGCCCATGGTCTGCGCTTTGCCTGAATACGTCTTCAAGTTGGTCAGATAGAAGAAGCGTAACATCTCCTTTCACGCTATCCCATAAAGTGAGGACCTGCTGGTCTGACACACTCGCCGCTTGAAGCGCATCTCTGTGTGATTTGAGATCTTGGCGTAGTGATCGAGACGGTCCGGCCGACGGAGCCTGCGTGAACATATGCTCATACTTGACGCGCATTGCTTCGCAGTCACGAGTCTCGACTTCGAGTTCTCGCTGAGCACTGTCGATGTCACTGTGAACCACATCGCGTAGGCGCGAAAGGTCCGACAAAAGGCGCGTAACAGGTTCCCGTTCCTCGATGAGGCTTATATCTTCGCGCATGCGTGTCACCTCTAGTGGCAATTCCGAAGTGCCTTCAGCATGGAGACCTTCTACCATTGCCTTATAGCGGCCCAGTCCCTCCTGTACACCCAATGCGTCTAAGCAAGAGCGCTTCTCAGACTCAGCGGTGTCTGCTCTCTCCACTTCTGCCCGTACAAGTTTCGCTTTCTCCTCGGAATAAACGCTTGCGCTTTCGTGCACACTCAGAGGAATGAGCTTAATAAAGATATCCGGTCCAATAGTCTTTTGCACATCGGGGACACTGTAAACCTCCTGAATCGGTATAGGCTTTGCAACCTGCAGTTTATCGAGTTGCGGTAGTGTCTCGATGGGTGGAACAACGGCATTATAAATCAGATCATTGTCCTTCTGCGCTTCGTTCTTCTTTTCCGTGCATAAGGCAAGGTGGAATTTTGTTAGTTCCTGGATTGCTGAGCCAGCGTCGGGCGGAAGATTAGGTGACATCTGAGGCATGAACATCCCCCCAAATGACGCAGCTAGCTTTGAAGCGTCTTTAGCGAATGCCTCCGCAGCTGTGAATCGGGACAATGCATCGCCATAATTTCCGGCAGCGTTGTCTGCCAGTGCACGATGGAGCTGAGATAATGAGTTGAAATACTTCGCCTTGATCTAAGGAAGACCTGTAAGCATCTGATTGTTGAGTATATGCACAAAACGAACCGACCTGGAGTATAGTCACCCAGTTACGATCAAAAATACCCTTACCCATAAATTCCTTTACTTCCTCGCACAGTGAAGTATACATAGTCGCCGCTTGGTTTGCCACTTTGGCGACAAGTCCGCTGCCTTTCCGTTCATCTACGCATTTCTCGTAGAATACTTCGGTCGCCTGAGCCATCATGATACTGACCAGGAACTTGACAACCTCGCGACTCAAGTCGGTCGAAGGTGCATGTAAGAAGTTGTCATTGATATAAGTGAGCATGCCAGCGCTAGTTCTGAAATAATGGAACGCGCGCTTTAAGCCTTCGGGATCGCCACGGTTCTGGGCTGCCGCGATGGCGGAGTGGGTGGCAGCGATTTGGAAGATGATAGAAGCTTTTTCGTAGGCCAGTGAGGTCTGGGTAGTGAGCTTGTTCGTGAAGGCGTCGTGCCACGGAAAGGTAACCCTGATCTCCGCGAACCGCAGTTCCAGGAGTTCCAGTTGTCCGAAATATTTATACAACAAGTCTCTTGCTATTAATTGACCATATTATTAACCACAGTTCGTGAGTCGCTACCAGTGAATTTACCTGTCGTGTCACTGCCCGCTCCCTTGACAGCATCCTGCCGACATCGTTGGAGGGCGGCGCACTCCGCGGTGTAATTGTCTGGATTCTCACCGTACGACTGAGCGATGAGATTGCGAACGGGAGTCGTCCAGTCGACCTCCTCCGTTGATTTCTTTGGTATCGAGATTGTCGGTGACTGGGTTGTCATCCCGAGTTATCGACAGAGGTGAAATGTTAACAATGATTTCTAAGGCAGACTTCTGAGGCGAGTCTTTGGATATTTGGAGTGCTTACGTGGTCACGCCTGTCATCGTCACGCGAAGGCTCTCAACAGTTCGCGTCGCGCAGCGTCTGACCTGATGTAACAAATTACTGTCTGTCAACGGCTATAGGATTGCAGGCCTGGACCTCTGCTTTAACATAACTCAATGCTCAGATGTAATATCGTTACTGTTGCACGACGCACATTGCTTCAATGTGTGATGCTCATGCGTTAATACAGAATAACACGTATAAGTCTCGCTCTGAACAAAGAACATCAAGCATCCATAGATCTGTTACTCCAACATGTTTGTATCTCAGATATTTTCTATTTCATTCATTCTCTTATTAATCCTACGGGCTTGTTATAAGGCAGGCCAGGGCGGCTGCAGGGGCCAATACCAATCGATCAGAAGTACTTCAACTTCCCAACTCCTGTATCCGCTTCTTTCAGCCAGCGTATCCATTTCTTCCTCACTTCATACAACTGAGCCTTTTGTGTTGCATATGTTGTGACTTCACTGGGCTTGTCTGCTTCATTCTCCTTTGCCTCAACGTCCACAATAGTTGCATCAATGTTTGAGACCAGCTGCTGAACAGGAGAGAGCTTAGCTTTGTATTTTGCTGCTTCTGTCTTCTCCTTCTCGATAGCATTGATTTGTCTGAACATCTTCTGCTTCTGCTTCGCATACTCTGTGATTTGACTTGACTTGACACCTGGTTCCATCTCTTTGTGCTGGATTTCCGCGATGGCGGCTCCAAGCTGCTGGATAGTCGTATCTGCAGCAGACATATGCACGTCGTAGTTACTCAAGAACGTGTCCACAGTGTCCGACATGTGTGCTTGCTAGTATGTTTGATATGAACTTCCTTTCTAATTGGTTGGAGTGATACAATAGCTTGTGGGCGATGTTTCTTCAAAGCTCAAGACAGCTTCTCATTAAGGGAGGGAGGGGCACTGCTTGGATACACAAGATTGTGAGATCATGATTTTGATGCAGCAAATTGTTGCAATGCTCTGACTAGTCCTAGACCTTAATGTAGAATGGTGAAATTTTCTTGGATTAAATGAATATTTTAAATACAATTTTGCACGTTTTCGGAATTCTCTTTCTGTTCATTTTCATGAGTTCTACCAGCCTCTCCTCTGCTAACCGCAATTCTGAAAGCAAAATATTCGCAAACTAGGGGATGTTGCTTATTTTGAGGCCAGGTTCCATCTCGGAGTGCTCAACATTGTGGAATCGGGTTCTGGCCTACTGGATAAATATCTTAGCAGCAGTCTTTTTTTACATCAAAGCAACACAAGAATGTGTCCACAGTACTTGTCCTTCGCAACAGCGAACTGGAAACGCTCCTTGAACTGAACTGCGCCATGACAACTGTTGCATGCGACTTGCATCAAGTCCAGTCTCTTCATCCGCTACATCTGCCAAAGTTGAGCAAAGTTGTTCAAGAATACGAGCCACTTTGCTTATGATGTGGTGTTGGAATCAGAACTCCCGAACTCGGCCCAAAAGATCCTCTTATTTTGTGCTAGGACACAGTGCAAAGAGCTTAGACATGTCAAGCTGTAGGACTTACTAGTAGATCATAATGAGGCAAACCGAGATAAAAACAGAGAATAACATTGCAAATAAAGCCAGCGGGAGTGGTGCCAATGGTCGAGTAGAGAATGGGTGTATGCATCACGAAGTCATGATGTAACAAAATCGTTGTGATTGCTTGCTTGCATATTCCTCGTAATGATTTCTCCATTCCACAGGGTTAGACAGACAGAGCCGGTTGAAAGTTGGCTGCTTATAATAACACATATGTAATCTAATCAGCTTTAAGGATGAGTCCTGAGAATTGCCAGAATGTAGACACTCACTAGAGGGGTAAATGGAGGCTCAGACTTTAATAATACCGTGTACCTGCAAATGGGAGGAATTAGACCAGCATTGTCGATCGTCCTGTTCGTGTGTAAGCGGAGATGAGATATTCTAACACGGCCAGCAGCACCCAAGAAGCAACGCGTGGAATGTGAGATTGAGATTGATTGAAAGAACTATTATAACATAACCAAGGACCTCCCGGACACAAGAATCACATCACAGCAAGAATTGCCTACCACCTGCACCATCGCCACTTCCATCACCAGGAAGCGGATCTTTGGGACCAATCTCCTTTACAACATAATACGAAAAGAACAGCACCTTGAACGTGAGTGCAAGTGCAAGGTGCAGGATAACAATGACAATGACAAAAGCACGCGGTGTTTTCGAGTTAGCCGTCGCTAGAACTGGGTATACGTTAGCAAGGAGGAAATATCCCGATAATCCGCATGCAACCCCGACGAGAACCCAACGGACGATCGGGTATGGGGCAAGACAAAGGGCCTACAGGATGGATGATAAGTGGTTGTTGACATCTAAGACTAGGACAGGGGCCGGCGACGATACGTACAGCGACAGGAATCCACACAAATTGTCCATATCCCCACACTGAAAGCGCCTCGACAAGACTCCACTCAGTCACGCCCATGTACCTCAATGCACCCCACAGCAGCGCAGGGAATCCAAGTCCATAGGCATAGACAAGCGACACAGCTATCGATAGTAACTGGAAGTTATAATTATACTGTGCGGAAGGATCGGAAAGATATGACGAGATCGACGCGGCGAGCGAGGAGAATACAAAAAGCGCGAAGATGACTGTGGTTAACGTCCAGAAGGGACCATAAAGATCAGGTGCTGGAGAGAGGTGGTTTGCGACGTAAGACGGTGCTGCGATTGGGTTGAGCGTCGCAACACAACGTTGTAGAACCTGAATAATAGGAACCTTCAGTGGCGTGTGCTAAGATGAGAACGAACAAATTCACGCACAGTCTTGGTATCAACGTCAAAGTATCGCTGATAATATTCGAATGTCCAAAAGCCTGATCGCTGTTGAGTATCGTCATTCAGGTACCCTGTGAGATAGGATTGAAACTCGATTAAATCCAATCCAATCGTCCCGCAATAATCTAGTGGTTTCGCACCTCGGTTAACGTTTGAAGTACCCCTGGCACCTCCAGAGCTTGCATTTGCATCCTCAGGGAGAAAACCTAGAGGATCAATGAAAAGTATTATTTTAATTTCATGAGCATCATTCGAGGATAGGAGAACGAGTCGAACGACATGTCACCGACTTTTAAATTCGAGAGCATCGCCTTGCTCAGTAATCTGTAGTCAAATCTGGCGCGTCAGTCTATGTTCATTCCGTATAGGCACTAACTTACATCGTCAGCTTCTACGGGAACATAGCCTGAAGCCATAGGTTGCAGTTTCGTTTGTGAATTTGGATTCTTGGAAGGTGTTCGGGAGCACCGCGTCATGACGAATCACCTGATTTACTGCGTATTGATTACCTAATTTCGTGAATACTTTCTTGCACCCAGAAAGTATTGCTCATAGAGAACAGTTATTATCCCCATTTATTAAAGAGTTATACAGACAAGAGTCGGGGGGAGAACACAGCTATACTATACAACGTACTTTCACAAAGTTGAGAGGCGATCATACTCATATACAAAATCAGTGCAAACGGTTCCGCATATCGTTCCGCAAACATAACTATCACAAAGCTCACTTCCTCGCGCGAGTTCGCATCGAACGAGTTACGGCCGACTCGGCGCGTACTGTCGTCGTCGAGGGTTTCGTCGGTGACTTTGCCTTCCCGGCAGCACTCGCTTTGGCCTTTGCAGGAGCTTTGGCTGGTGTGCGCCCCTTTGATGTGTGTTTCGCATTTGCTCGAGTCGCATCGTCAGCAACTTCCGACACAGGACTACGTTCTGGAGTGTTCTCCTTATCCTCTATGTGTGCTGGGTCCTCGTTTACTGACTCGACTGGTGAGATCTGACTTTTTGCTCCACGCCTACTCACGACGGAAGTTGAGGATCCAGCTCTTTTTCTGGGTGGAGCATCGTCCGCACTACTCTCCGTTCGTGTACGCATTCGTCGGGTACGCGGAGCAGTCGGTGCGATAGCTGCCTTACATTCTGACTGAGTTTGTGTATGAGCAGACACTGGCTCTTCTTCCTCCAGTATCGTCTCAACCGCTGCTCCTCCGACCTGATCAGCAGACTTGACAGCTGCCTCAACATTGTCATTAGCCTCGGGCTCTGCACTTTGTGAGCGTGCGCGGGTGCTCCGTCGGGTAACCGGCGCATCTTCAGGCTGGGTCGAACCTGCACGCGTACTTCGCCTTGCTGCATGACCAGCTGCATCCCCTGTATCGCCCGATTCCGTTCCAGTTTCGCTAATGTCGGCCTTGCGCCGACCCCTGGTTTTTGATGGCGCCTTTGCTGGTGACGACCCGCCGACCCGTCCAGGCTCTGAATCGTTAGCTTTGGCCTTTGCTTGTCGTCCACGACGTGGAGGAGAGCTCTTCAAACTTTCTGTATCAGATCCAACTCTACCAGTGCGATGTCCTCGTCCTCCACGGTGTACAACAGCTGCTTCAGGAACGCCCTCATTTGGTTTCAATCTCTTCGAAGTATCATCAACAACCGAATCTGGGGATGCCTCGTCATCGGCCATAGTTGACGCGTCAGTCGCTGTTCCCCTCGTGCGGACTAGTTCTGGCCTTCGTGCCCTACCACCACGCGAAAGTGTGCGCACCGCAAGTGAAGGCTTCCGCGTCGATGCCGGATATTGGGAGGAGCCGGCATCATGCCCTGGCACATTCTCCAGCGCTCTCTTGCCTTTGGTGATTTCATCTGCATTGTTGTCCTTCGTTTGGTCTTGCTCATCAACGTGCATCATGTCCCCGATACCATCAAAGGTTGGTGTCTCTGGTGCGTGTCGCTCTGCAAACAGCTCACGCATCCCCTCCATTCGTGGTGTCTGCATCGGTTGCGGTGCACGAAATAGATCCCTTACACCACGGACGGCAGGAGTTGCAAGACCCGCAGTCTTCGTGGGGCCTCGGAACATCTCACGCAGGCCATCCAGACGCGGAGTCCTAGAATGTGGAGCGATCGGACAAGTGTTCTCATCGTTCTCGTCAACGTTTTCTTCGTTTCGAGCTTTGTTTGTCTCAGAGTCGTCGACGTCCATAGAATCATCTTTTCCGGGACGGTTCTGTGTCTCCTCCATGATCCCATCTTCGAGCTTCGGCATCTCGCGAATAGGGGATCCCCGCCGCGGCCCAGATGCCAAAAGAGAGAATGGCTTCTGAGGTGAAAGGGGAGGCATTCCAGGCCCCATGTTACGTGTCAGCCTCGGCCGAGTGGGAGATAGCGACATGCGCCGTTCTGCAACCTGTGCCTGCATGCGCTGGAGCACGACTTGTGTATCTTCACCTTCCTCGATGTGGGCGCTTAGTGTTTTGAATGGTGATGCAGGGGCTAAGGGTGGTGGAACCAAGGATGACCCTTGCTCTCCGAGCTTATAACTTTCGCCGATTTCCGGGTCAGGCGCCTTGAGGGCAGACCTGCGGCGCTCGAGGATAGCCTGGACAAGACCGTTAAATACAATTTACTCGAGGGACACGAAAGCCATACCTTCCGCTCTTCCTCACTAATCTCTCGCCGCTTGGTAGGCGAAGTAGGCCTATCATTTGCTTTCTCTTCGTCCATGTCTTCTTCCTTGATGGTCGTCTGATCCGCACCCAGTCCAGGAGCAAGGGAGAAACGAAACCCAGGAGGCGGCCTTTGAGGCCCAGTCTTTCGCCTTTCTTTTTTCTCGTCATCGGATGGCTTAGAGAAAAGACCTGGTTGAGGTGTCATGAAGGCGCCAAGATGGAGAGCCCGACTGACTTGAAGGGGCGTGATGAACTGCGGCCCTTCTCCCGACCCTTCACCACCTGACTCGTTGTACTCGTGGTTTGCCTGCAGCGAAAGTTAATAATAAAGAAACCAGTTCCGAATACAATGACCTACCTCGGTGATGTCCTGCTCGTCGACTTGCGGCTTCTGTTTAGCACCGTCAACACCAGACATATCTGCCTCCTGAGCATTTTCTACATCTTCCATGTCTTCGTTTGCTTCATCATTTAAAATACTATTCTCGACCTCATCTTCCTCGCCATCCTCATCATCATCGTCCCCTTCTGCATCTTCCTCAAGTAGGTTGATCTCTTCAAACTGCGACCCAGGGGTGTTGAACTGCTGCCGTTGCATTTGTTCCTCCGATTCGCGCATGTACGCAGTGCGCTGTGCAGATCGAATGAGTACTGCTCGATGCAAGGATGGGGCAGAACGGCGACGAGGAGTCTGCGGTGGCACCTGTCGAGCAGGGGGCAGTTGTTGCAACCTTACTGGGTTCGCTTGCATTGCGGGTCCAGGATGATGTCCATTTTGCAGTGGTTCAACGTCCTCCAGGATGACGAGGTCTTGCCCTTCCTCATAGACGCGAGGGTGGTCGCCATCAACAAGCTTCACTGGAATTTCCGAACTTGGTATTTTAAGTGGACTCTGCAACACCCGAAGATTCTCGCGTGGATACGGGGAAGGAGCTGGCGAGAAAACCTGTGCGCTTTGCACTAGGCTCATGCGGATACCCTTGCGACGCACTGTGGCAGGGGTAAACAACTGCGGGCGGAGGGCCTTGGGCGGGTAGTTGAACATGAATCGTTTTTTGTGTATCTCGAATACACTTCCATTCGGGAGTGGTACAGTCACGGTAGACGAAGGGTTTCCAAGTACAGCAGTTTTGGTTGGATAGACAGGACATCCATCGACAATGACGCCGCTTGCTCCAAGTACTTGGATGAATGCCTTGCGCTCCTCAAATACTATCCTGCAGTGGTGTGAACTGACTTCTGAATAATAAAGACGGACACTGCAGCTCGCATCACGGCCAAATGTGACCTGCTCGTCGTCGATTGGATACGCCGCGACAACTCCTGAAGACTGACGACGCTTAAGCAGCCTGATAGTGCCATACTTCCCGACCTCTGAGGGGTCTGCCATGTTGTTCCTGGTGAGCCGTGACTGTGGGCACTGCAGGAGTATGAGACGAGGTAGTAAGTGGATGGGATGCGTGATGACGACGTTGTTGTTCGTGGTTTCTAACGGCAATTCACGTGACCGCGTTCAGGTTCGCGGCGATCGCACTTTGCTTCCTTCCAGCCTGTGACACTACAATTGCATATATCCAATTTATAACTTGATTCGGACGTCATCTCCTTGATCCTTTTCTTCTCTGTCAATATCCCATCTTTTTCTAATGTCTATTCAATTTCCTTTTCTCCTGCTCAACTTCTTTCATATACCGCTCCTTCCAGGATTCATCAAGGTCCTTCTTCCTAGCTTTTGCGATCCATGCCATGCGACGCACCGTCTTCTCGAGATCTCGCCCGTTATAGTAGTTATGGCCTCCGAGAGGAAACTGGGGCGATAAATCTGTGTGGCTATCCTTGTCGTGGGCGACATTGAACTTTGAGCATTCATACTCTGATGCAGGCGTATGATAAAGGCACCCTCGGTAAAGGTACAGCACTGAGATCAAAGCATGTCGGTAGCCAAGTCCTAATGATGGAAGTGCTGTGACACCTATAAAGCAAAGATATTCAGACTCTATATGTACTGCAGTAAATTCGGAGTGTACTAGCTTACCATCATTATACGCCTTCACAGAGTACTCGCACAGCTGATCTTCTCCGTGTTTTTCTCTAAATCTGGCCGTTGAATCACGATACAGCTCTGCAAACGCAGCATTTCCCACTCTCGGTGCTCCGAAAATTACGAGGGAAACTCTCCAGCCTTCGCGAAGGAGCTTTTTTCCTGCCAAATATTTGGAGTAGAAATCCTCATTCAGGAGATCCATGATAAACAATAGAGCGAGTGCGCCCCCAAGACTGTGCCCAGTTACAACAATCTCTTCAATAGGCAACTCCTTTTCTGAACACAATTGCAGGCAGTTTTGTAGATTCTCAAGCGTCGTGCGTCTGATACCACGATATAACCTCCAGAAACCAGCATGGACTTTGACCATTCCAAATCGGGACTTTCGACAAGGCGAGTATTTGGACCTCAGCGCATTGATATCATGTAAAGCCTGTGAAATGTTGCAAGTCCCAGAAAATGCTACAACTAGCTGTTTTTCCTTTTCGCGCAATGCAATTAATCCCTGTACGTCTGAATATCGTCCACGGAGAACGTGCATGAGTTTCGCACTGCGAAGCGCATCGTGTAATTCGAAAGGGAAATCCGGCTTCGATAGCTCCTCGAGATATCGCCAAACGAGGTTCGCATCGTACGCACCATATGCGACCTCCGCAAACTGGCCAATCTTCGAGATTTCGTTCTGCAGCGTGTTCGACACGAGATCTTTTGAAGAGAGTGTGACTTCGGACCGTTTCCCGAAGTGTTTCGCTACCCAGCGAAAATTAGGAACTTTCTCGAGTTTGTACGTTATTATGTCTGCTTCTTGGAGCTCATGGTCATGCTGGCGTTTTCTTCTGATCCACGGTAGAGAGCGACTCGTCAGCTGCAGCATGGAGGTTTGCGCACAAACTCATGCTTCCGAACGTGTAAGTGCGATGGCCGATGATCTTTGTTGCGACTTCATATGACACACACAAGCGGTTTATTTTAGATCAAAACCTTACCCAAGGTATACTCGACATTCAGCCTTCCCAAGTTTCGACTCAATTGACTTTTCCCGCTTGTTGACGAGATCTCTCTAAGTAGGCAGATGGTTACACGAGTCAATAGGAATTTTTCCGTGTGGTGCGTAGAACTTACTGCAAATATTTACAGTTTAAATGGTAAAGGCTGCACGAGCAATTTACAGTAACTACGGGAACTTAATTGATCGCCGCGGAACGAGAGTGAAGCTTACGAAGTTCCGTTGCGGATGACGTTCTCGCTCATATGCACTATTTGGGATGAGGACAAAGATGCGCGAAATCTTGGCTCTGACTCAAATAGGGAGGCACGGGTGCAGCGTAGATCATGAAGCTAGGAAGTTGTCATTTGACAACCTACTGTCACTTCCTATTTCTACCCAGTTAAAGTAAAATGCTCATCATTTCTAAAGCATCCTCACTATGGAGAATCGGATTAATTCCGTGACGTCAGGGATTTCTTGTCAACGCAAGGCCGCTGCTCGTCTTGACTCCGGAGTCTGCATGGACGAACGTTCACCGAAGTTAGCAGAACTTCTGTACCTCTTGTTGCGTACAGATCCGAGAACCATACGTCTTGGTGTTTCATGGTCTTGCTTTGCCCGTACAGTCCCGGATTTGAATACTCATGACGAAGTCGTTCGACTGGAGTCCCCAAAGATATATTTGTTCTCGTTCCTTCCTAAGCATTTTCGGTCTGTGACCCTGTGCATGGGAACCCGAGAGCTATTCCGCACTTCCTAGCCGGAGCGTCTTCACAGATCGAATGAATCTACACGGTCTCTATTTCGGCATAGGAGGCCCAGACTGGCGTTCCTATTTATGACGGCTTGTGCGCCTTTCGACAGAGACTTCTCGTTGATGAGAAGTGCAATATTGCACTCACCTGATACACAGACATCATGCACTCTGTTTCTAGGGTTGAAATACCTTGCGATTATCCCACCGGACGTAGAGCCCGACGTTCCTTGCTTCTGTGCATATACATCCGTCTACAACGGACTGAGCAAGGAATTGATGGTTTGTGTCCGTTTCGTCCACATTCACCTCATGACCTTTGAACCACCAGTATTGTACGCACGTCGGCCATGCACACCCCGTCCTTTCAAAGACCAAAATATTCACCGTTGGCGCATAAAAGCAACCCAGTTGTAGTCGCAAAGCATCAGCTTCACTAAACTCGACTCTAGTAGTATCTCGCTTCAGCAAGAACTTGAAGTCATGCACGTCGCATCGTTTCTCTTGACACTCCTGTTCGCCAGTGCCGCCTTCGCCGTGCGTGCTAGCTATGACAACACCTACGACAACCCTTCGGGCAGTACGCTCACAGTCTCATGCTCCACTGGACCTAATGGTCTCGCGGGCCGCTTCCCAACTTTCGGCGATCTGCCAACATTCCCAAACATCGGTGGTGCGGACGCCATTGCAGGCTTCGGTTCGGCTCAGTGCGGTAGCTGCTGGAGCCTAACATTCCCAACGACGGGTAACACAATCAACGTCATTGCTATTGATCATGCTGGCGATGGCTTCAACCTTAGCCAGGAGGCGCTCGATGCACTCACGAACGGAAATGCGGTTTTCGATGGCGCCGTGCAAGTCAACGCCGTGCAAGTCGATAGGTCTGTATGTGGCCTGTAAACGGGACAACATCTCTTCATTGGTTAGTATTGTCAACTGCTTTAGCGTAATTCTAAAGATTGAAATGCATGACAGCAACTTTCCCTGTTCGTTTTAATGCTCGAAGGACGGAAATAGTTCGGATAAACCAACTTAGTAGTATTGCCACCTTGTACGATTTGGCTGTATAAAATATGATGAATTTGGACACGCGAATTATATCTGGATGATTAAAGCCTGACAGAAATGATCCAGCTGTTGTGTATGTATGTAAGGACTTGAGCAGCGCAAACAACGGCAAATATGAAAGAGAGATGACAAAGGTCGTCTGACAAATCATTCCTTTTATAGTCGCTGAGTCTGAAATCGCGTGGGCCAATTGAATTGTGCGTGTTCCGTAAACTACTCGTAAACTTGCTGGTCAACGTCAACGACGAGCACGCACCTCTAGCCGTCTGTTCTCATTTTTCTGGCGTCGACCCACATCAGACGGCGCTCCTGAGGCGCGTATTTTCGCCATGCTTGTCCGGTCGATACCGTCGTCGACCGCCCGGATCGCTAAAGCTATTTCTTCTTCGTGCCGCAATGGTGAGCAGCACAATTATTCGGTTTAAAATATCTATCCAATTTCTGTGCTTGAAGGTACAAGGTCGTTTGCGTCGACATCGTCCGTGCAGGCGGACATCACTTTGACGGTTGATGGGAAGGAGGTCACGGTTCCACAGGGTGCGTCGGTCTTGACTTGATGAACTGAAATTGTCATCTAATATTCGTACCCAGGGTCTGCCTTAATCCAGGCCTGTGAAGCTGCTGGTGCTAACATTCCGCGGTATGTCTGCTTTACTTCGACGCTGTTTCAATGGCTTATTCCGTCCGTATAGATTTTGTTATCATGATCGGTACGTGGAAGCAAAGAAGGGGAACAGGATACTGTGCTGACCGTTTCTGCAGTCTAGCAATCGCGGGGAATTGCAGGTGGGTGATTGTCGCGCTCAATTTTTTTCTATCTTGTCACTAACTTATCACTAGAATGTGCTTAGTAGAAGTGGAAAGGTCGCCCAAACCTGTCGCGTCGTGGTGAGTCGGGATGATACCTGTACCTGCTTCGATTTAAAGTTCTCGTCTCGCTACAGTGCCATGCCTGCCATGCCAGGTGCGAAGGTCAAAACCAACTCTCCTCTTGTACACGCCGCTCGGTATGTCCACTACTCTATTTCAAATAATTTATACCGACGTCCTCCAGTGAGGGTGTCATGGAATTCCTCCTCGCCAACCATCCACTTGACTGTCCTATATGCGACCAGGGTGGTGAATGCGATTTACAAGACCAGTCCATGCGGTATGGCTCTGACCGTACCCGTTTCCATGAGAAAACTGGGAAACGTGCTGTAGAGGATAAGGACTTAGGACCCCTCGTCAAGACTGTCATGACGCGTTGTATCCAATGTACGCGTTGTGTACGTTTTGCGAACGAAGTTGCAGGAGTCGAAGAATTAGGTACGACTGGCCGCGGAAATGACATGCAAATAGGAATGTATGTGGAGAAGACTATGGATTCTGAGCTGTCTGGAAATGTTGTCGACCTCTGCCCTGTTGGTGCTCTTACAAGCAAACCATATGCATTCCATGCTCGACCTTGGGAGCTGAAGAACACGGAGTCTGTTGACGTGATGGATGCGGTAGGGTCAAATATTCGAGTCGACTCGCGTGGGGTGCAGGTGATGCGTATTCTACCTCGAACGAATGACGATGTGAATGAAGAGTGGATTAGCGACAAGACTCGCTACGCGTACGACGGCCTTAAGTTCCAGCGTCTGACTACGCCTTTGATCAAGCAGGGTGACCGGTTTGTTGCAGCTTCATGGGAAGAGGCGCTGTCAGCCATCGCCAATGGTTTAGCGTCAAGTGGGGCGAAGGGGGACGAAGTCAAGGCCATTGCAGGGTACCATGTGGATACTGAATCTCTTGTTGCTATGAAGGACCTCGTTAACCGCCTAGGCTCGGACAACTTGACACTCGATCAACCAAATGGTGACAAGCTTCCGGTACATGGTGTAGACATACGCTCAAACTACCTCTTCAACTCGACTATCCCTGGTGTTGAGGAGGCCGATGCTATCCTTCTCATCGGTACGAACCCGCGTCATGAGGCTGCTGTATTGAACTCGCGGATACGCAAGAGTTGGTTACATACAGGTCTGGAGGTAGGCTTCATTGGCGAGCGAGCAGACACCACGTACGGCTACGACTATGTCGGAGCGGATGCAAAGGCACTCGCAAACTTCGTTGCTGGCAAGGGCACCTTCGTCGACAAGTTTAAGGCGGCGAAGAAACCCCTCATTATTGTTGGTAGCGCGGTTTCGGAACATCCAGATGGTGCAGCCGTCTTCAATGCGCTGGCGAAATACGCAGAGGCCAACAGAGAGAAGCTCATTACTCCTGAGTGGAACGGATTGAGCATCTTACAACGTGTTGCATCGCGACCAGCAGCGTACGAAGTCGGCTTCGTTCCCTCGAAGAAAGCCACGGAAACGACTCCTAAATTTATTTATTTGTTAAATGCGGATGAGGTTAATCCTACGTCGATCCCTAAAGACGCGTTTGTCGTTTATCAGGGACACCATGGTGACCTTGGTGCTCAGCTGGCCGATGTTGTCTTACCCGGAGCTGCATATACCGAGAAGTCTACTGTATGGGTCAACACGGAGGGTCGCCCGCAACTTGGTCGTGCTGCCGTGCCACCGCCTGGTGCATCCCGTGAAGATTGGAAAATCATTCGGTATGTCATTGTACTCGTCTTTTTCTATTATTGTCCTGATTTGTGTTTTTAGCGCTATTTCTGAGGTGGTTGGACATCCGCTTCCGTACGACGACGTTCTCATGCTACGGGACCGCATGTGGGAGATCTCCCCAGCCCTTGTACGGTACGATGTGACAGAACGCACGTCTGCCGACTTCGCCTCTCTCGGACTAAAAACCTTAGCCGCCATCAACAAATCCGCCAAAGTTTCCAATGTCCCATTCAAGAAGCCCATCCAGAACTTCTACCAGACTGATGTTATTTCGCGAGCGTACGTACCCTCTCTTCACCTCTTTTATGTACTTCACACTGATTCACGCGTTTATATCTGCTCTTCTCATGTTTTGTCTCTAATTACCTGTGTGGGGCAATTGATGGTTTATACAGGTCGGTGACGATGGCCCAATGCACACGCGCCTTTGTCAAAAAGGAGGATTACGGGAACCCTGGTGCTGGCGCCGAAGCAGCATTTGCATAGCACACATCTTTATCAGATGTTTAATGTACAGTGTCTTAGAAATTGAATTCAATGGCTCTTCTCAGCCGGACTTTGCTTTGCTTTCTGTATTTCTCTTGCGTGCTGTCTGTTGGTGCGACTCGAATAGAACATCTCTTCGTACGTACGTAAGACAATTGGAGATTGGTAACAGGTTCATATGACAATAATGTCTGTGCATTCCAAGAGTCAAAACCAGTCTTCACGGGTAAATTGCGTTTCCCATAACTTTGTCTAATTGAATAGATGTTATCATTGATAAACAATAGGAAAGAGTCATCCAGTCTTATGCAAATCGTGACACTATGATAAATGTAACCGTGAGGATAATGAGGGGTAAATGTACAAAATGACGGGTCATGAGAGATGAAAAGGAACAATCGTCAAAAGTCAATGAATAAATTGGAACGAGAAATAAAAATTTGATCCTATCCAGGGAAGCCGAACGGTCGAAAATGGTAACGAAAGTCGAAGGTGTTTTGATAAAAAAAATGCTTGTTATTAGAGAAGAATCACCGGGATTGAGAAACAGGACATTGGAAGAGCCCAAATCGTAGTCCAAATGGGAAAAGCAGGAACCAAATAAGTAGTAGGCGACTATTCGCCCATCCACTCTCCACCTCTCGCAAGCTGCGCAAACATTCCATTCGACGCAATCAACTCGTCATATGTCCCCTCTTCGGCGACCGAGCCTGCATCAATAACGACAATCCGATCACAGAGCCGCATCACAGGTAGTTTATGTGTTACCACAAGCGTAGTCCTCCCGACTTTCACAGAACGAATTGTCTCCATGACCGCAGCCTGGCTCTCCGGATCCAGAGCGCTTGTGCATTCATCTAGGATGAGTACACGTGCAGGACGAGCGAGTGCCCGTGCGATAGCTAGTCGCTGGGCTTGGCCTCCAGAGATCAGTGAGGCGTTCTCTCCTACATGTGTTTCATACCCTTGTGGCAGAGACATAATGAAGTCGTGCACGCGTGCCGCTTGCGCAGCGTAACAGACATCAGCAGGTGAGAGCCCTGCGTTCCCATATGCAATGTTCTCCGCGATGGACGCATCGAAAAGATTGGGGCTTTGGCTAACAACGGCGATATGCGCACGGAGGTGTTTGACATCCATCGCATGTAAACTGTTTCCGCCTATTGTAATCGATCCTGAGTTCGGTTCGTATAATCGTTGCAAGAGAGCTGCTATTGTGGATTTGCCTGAGCCCGATGCGCCAACGACTGCAATGCATTCGTTTTGCTTGAACCGAAGAGACGTGCTCTGGAGGACGGGAACATCAGACCGTTCAGGATAGGAGAAGTCTACATCATTGAACTTGATGTCGCCTTGTATAGGAGGCATCGCACTTCCGCGGGATTCTTCGGTGTCGGTGCTAAGAAATAAGATCTTGTTGAGGTCTCGCGTAGCCTGCGTCGCTCGCGCAATCTTTTGGGCTAGAAATGCATAATCGTCAAAATCCGGAAGTTCGGAAATGCTCCTCAGTGAGTACTTACTGAAACCCATGAGCTGTGCACCAATGGTGACCGTAAAGACGACTAGGTTGAGGACTTCAACCATCTGCAGATACGAATACGTCCCATTCGCGACGAGAACTGCACCGATAAAGAATAGAAGAGCCTCCGCGAAGTAAATCAAACCGTTTGCGACGCCAAACGAGCAGCCTTCAACGAAAGCGCCACGTATACCAGTCCTGTAAGCACGCATGATGGATTCCTCAAATTGGTTCTGGAAGACATTTTCAAAGGACATGCATCGGATGGCACGGATATTTGAGATGCACTATGGCGAAGGCAAAGTTAGAATAAAGACGATAAAATAGAATTCAAGTACCAACCTCATAATAGGCCCTCGCAATTTCCTCCCGGGCAGTCTTGTTTCTCCTCTCCGCACGAGCAACCAGGTTTGCTTGTACAGACATCGCCACAGCAAACACTGGTGCAATAGCAAAGCCAGCAAGCGTGAGCTGCCATCCTTGTACCAACGCCCAAACGAGACCGACACCCAGCATAGCAGATACAGCCAAGCACTGCGCCAGAACTACCGAAATTAGGTTCCTCGCATCGTCACCGTCCTTCATGAGCCTCTGCACGATTTGTGGTGCGTTGTTGTCCGAACGGTCGAAGAAGGACTTGTCTTGCGCAAGTAGACGGGCATAACATGCTTTTCGAATACGTGTGATCCAGGTCATTGCACCGCTTTCCATGACAAAGAATTTGAGCCCAATGAGGAGGCCATCACAGGCGGCTACAGCGAGGACAATACCACCAAGCACATTGATGGTTCGCACGTTCTCCGCACCAATTGAGACTTGGAAGAGTAGCCTCGAAAGGAGGAAAGAGAATATGGGGGTTAAAGCTCCGCTCAACACACAGATGACCAGTCCAATGAGGATGACAGGCTTGTTCGGTACGGTGGGGTAGACATCTCGGATAAGCGCAAAGAAAGAGGTTGACTCTCGCGGAGCATCATCTCGCGACGTAGGCGCATCAACAACAACGTTATCGAGCTTGACTTCCGTCCACTGAATCCTCTTCACAGCAGCGCGTCGTTGACGCTGTCGAAGCGCCTCAGCGGCCATACGCTCTAGAGCCGTCTTCTCCAGTTCCTGTTCTATTTCATCCTCGTCGTCAAATTCTTCCTCCTCGTGCCTATGTGATTCAAAAATATCGTGGACTGAACGCTGGAAATTCGCTCCAGGTGACGACGGCGTGAACTGCAAGGAAAAGTGTCGACGTATATTCCCACTCGCCGGTTCCGTTTTCTTCAATGGGGCAGAGCTTTGCCGCTTCGTAAGTTTCACCACAGAAGTAGGACCAAGGCTCTGGTGTTTGTGCAGTGTAGTTGTTGCTTTGTACGAGGGTGGTGCAACAGTAGGCTGCTTCTCTCGAACAGTACGCTGGCGCGAAAGATCCGATACAACATCAAGCATCCACGCGCTAATGCCCACACTCTGGTGCGCTTTCCTTTGCGGAGGTAAGCCGAGCATTGTCAGCCTCCTATTATCCGATTCGTCTTCTTCCTGTTTCTCCGCATCTGATCGTTCGAGTATACGCTCTACGTCCTCAGGAATTGCTGCACCCGTCGGATCCGCATCAGCAATCTGACTTTCCCGCTTTGGTACGAAACCGCCCTGCGCTCCCTGCGAACGCATCATTGCACGGAATGCCCCGTCTGACCCGTCCGGTAAGGGTTCTTCGAGGTCGGAGCGATAACCTTGCTCAACAACACCTCCATCTTTGAGCACGTATACGAAGTCTCCGGGAGTGATTTGCGATAGGTCGTGTGTGATCACAATAGTCGTTTTATTCTTTCGACATTCTTTAATTGCTTCAAAGACGAGTACGCGTGACGTCGCGTCCAGCGCAGATGTCGCTTCGTCTGGGGCATAAGCACAAAGTAATTAGTCTCTGATAATTTGTTTCAAATCATAAAGCTTACCGAGAACAAGTACTGTCGGGTCCCTAAGCATCGCGCGCGCAATCGCCAAGCGCTGCTTTTGTCCACCAGACAGATTCGCTCCACCATTTCCTAGCCTCGTATCATATCCATCTGGGAGGTCTCTTACAAATTCATGCATAAGAGCTGCCGTGCACACCGCAACTACTTCATCCCTAGTCACGTCTTTTGGTTGACGTCGTAACCCTGCAACGCCCATCGCGACATTATCATGTACGGACCCGTCGAAGAGTATACAGCTCTGGCTGACGACAGCAACATGTGACCGGAGCCATTGCTCGTCAATATAAGACACGTCTTGATCGTCCAAGGCAATTACACCAAAAGCTGGCGTATATAGACGCGCCAGAAGCTGTGCAATAGTCGATTTTCCTGATCCAGATCCACCAACGACAAACGTCGTCTCGCTCGCTGGGAAATACAGAGAGACGTCTCGTAACACCGGAACCGAGGAACGCGAAGGGTATGCGAACGTCACCTCATGCAATGAGAATTCACCCATACATCGAGCGGGTTGGATCTTGCGAAGCGTTTGTATAGAGGTTGTTCGACATTTAGGCATGAGCGACGAAGGTGAGCTGGCCGACGCCATGGAGTTGCGCGGCATATCTTGCTCTGGTTGTTGAGGTGGTGGATCGATAAGCGATACGAGCGCAACCATAGCAAATTTTCCCCTTGCAAGCGTGACAAACTGCGGGATGCACATCTGCAAGTTACTTGCTGCAATAAGGCAGGCCCAAAACACGGCCATGACGTCGCCTGCTGAGGCCGATCCATTTCGGACAAGGTGTGCGCCGAACCAAAAGCCTTGAACAAACATTGCCATAGATGCGAACTGGCTAAAGGCGCTTGTCATCCCGAAGACTGCGTTTATTCGCACAGTGACTGAGCCTATCGCGACCAGTACGGGAGAGAGCGAGGCCTGTTCTGCGGACTGCGCGTTAAACGCCTTGACAGTGGAGATTGCTGCAACAGCGCGTTCAATGAAGGTCGCTGCGACTGCAGTTTGTTCGCGCTCTACGCCGATGAGCGGTCCAGAGAAACGCTGAGACACGATTTGAATGATCATAAGCGCCGGTACAGCAGATAAAATAACAAGGGTGAGTGCCCAGGAACGGATAAATGCGAGGATAAGGCAAGTGACACATGTAGTCAGATATTGTAAGAGCAGCCCCGACGTAAGGGAGCTCGCCATTCGTACATCGTCTGTATCCCTAAATTTCTGTTAGACTACTCTCCGCAATATTTTGCAATTTGCTTACCGATTAAACTTGGCCATCAAGCCACCAGCTCCAATAGTCCCATTTACTCCCGAAGCCGCCGAGGGATCTTCCGCACCCATCTTCATGTCAAACCATTCCATATCTCGGGAACTAACAGCAGCATAAACCTGGGAGCGAATGCGCATAACGTTCCGTTCTCCGGCTGAGATCCAGAGTGCGGAGGTGATACTGCCGAGGGCAATAGCACCAACAGCAAGAGCAGCAAGTTCTATGGCGGCAAATCCAACACCTTTAAGGAGGGTATGTCGTTCTGCGTCGGATGCATTGGAAAGCGGAAAGTTTGCAAATGCGTCGAAGACCGAACCCACTACAACCGTCATAAAAGGTGCAACACCACCCGCGACAAGAGATGAGAGTACTGCAGGTAAGACGATAACTAAGAGATCTTGGCGAGATATTCTGGAGAACAGCAAGCGGATAGATGGAGTTGGTGGAGTGTATGCTCTTTGAGTTGGTAGTTGCGGCGTTTGTTCCAGCCTCGCCCTAGACAACTTCGAGTCGACATACGACTTATAAGTTGACGAGCGTTCGGAGCTCATTGAGCGCTTAGTATGTACAGAGGGGGATTGAGTTACTTCATAAACTTGACCATTAGAGACGTTAGGATTGGCATTGCAGTCGACTGTGAGCGTAGGGCGGCGCATCGTTGCTGCTTGAGGTCGTCGTACGCCGACAACGTCGACAGTATAGTACAGAGAGGTGTGAAGGAAAGGGGAGAAGAATGGGCTTCATTGTGCATGTCCATTGGTTTTGCTAAGGGCGGCGCAGAGTGACAATAGGCAGATGAACAATAGCATAGCCTACCACACCGGCTCTCACACAGAACTCTTGCCGTTGCTGACTAATTAGTATCATTTCTATATCTGGAAAGTATAACATTGATGATCGGCATCCTTATTGTTTACACGTGTGCTCGACAAAGTACATTTTCATCTTGCACAATAAACAGTCACAGTATACCTCCGAGCATTCCTGACTCGCTTCTGGATCAACCGTCTTCTCTTCCGTCGCATAAACATCGGAGACTAACCTACTGCGAATGCAACATGGCTGCCATTTACAGTTTTCAATTCCCGACGTCGCCGAATCCGTACAGCCTGCGGCGCACCGGTATATAGGAAGTGAGCCGCAACGCACGATGTCCAGACAAGCCTGATCCCAATGCGTTATGAGCTTTATGCATTACGTGTATGAGCTTCTTAGCACTACACATGTACTATGACATATCTTTGGTACCACAGACCGTCATCATCACGTTGAAGCACGGATGAAATAACTATATTACAATCATCTCAGCCAAGCTCGGACCAAGTGCACGAGACTTTGCGATGTACTGTGCTGTTCGTTTGCACTGATTACACTAGTGGTTAACCGGATCATATTCATGCGTGATCTGCCTATCTCACAGGTTCTTAGTGTGGAAGCGCGGAATTGATAAATGTGACAATCTTCCTATCACGATCTTTCAACGCAGTGCCTTGAAGAACTCCAGATAGAGAACAGTGCATGACGTCGGGTCACTCCTGACTAGCATAGTAATGCTGTGGAGGTGAGACTATTTACCAGCCGAATAATTCCACTTTAGATATATTCGATCGAGTCTAAGATTGTTGACAACGGTTCTAAACCATTCATCTTGCAAAACTTCCGAGAGTTAAACCTTTTGCAGGTCGGCTTTTAAACAACTAGGCTAATAACATTTTCAATCACACTGCGAACCCACTTGTCTTGTTCCTATGACGGAATGTCACAGCTTTACTTGTAATTGGCTACCTATTCCTGTCGTTGTTCTATTCATGTTCTTATATCTTCTTCGTTTCTCGCTGAGCAGATGTACTCTCAAGAAATACTTGGAGCTGCTTCCTGGAACGGTATATAATGGCTTATCTCGTTTGGGCCAGGCTGTCTCAGAGGTGTCGGTTGACCATCCCAATCCATGGCCACTACTGCAATTCCGTCAGACATAGCAAACATGTGAGTATAGAAGATAACGTAACTTAGAACCTCCATTTCTATTGATATCTTGTATTTGCTTAAGTGCTGGCCCGATAGTATGTGCTTGCCTATAATGTTCTGTCCGTGCCGGCTGACACTATTCGTAGCTATTCGCGGATTTCATTCACTGGGGATTCTTTGGCATATTGACTGTACAAGTTTGTATGTAATACCCTTACAACATCGAATCTCGTAGGTCATCAAATGCTTTCATCTCAGATCTTTATTGCTATGCATTTCCAAGGGATTCGACAGCCTTCAAAGCTCTCGTCTACTCAATCTATCTGGCTGAGACGGCACAAGCTCTCCTTCTAACCCACGATGCTGTCATTATGTATGCGCGGCACTTCGGAGACGTGAGCGCTCTGGACGCAGTCGAGACAGCCTGGCTCGCTATACCCGTTTTATCAGGCATAGGTTCGTTCCCAAAGCAAATTAAACTACGCATCTGGTACACTTTTGAAGGTACATCAACAGTGAGCTGCGCCGTACAGCTATGCTACACATACCGCATCTATATCTTGTCAAAGTCGAAGCCGCTCGCGTTCGGAATCTCCGTGGTATACTTGACTCGAATTCATCCCAACTACCGATCTGATTTATTCATTAGATTGCAGCCACCCAAGCAGTTGCTGGTATCGTCGGTGGCGTGCAGGCTCATCGAGCTGCTAAGTACAGCTCGGTGAATTCCAAAGCGTTCGTCGCCATTACAGTAGATATTTAAAAATGAATCATATACATTGCGCTGCTGATGAGTGTCTCTTCTATATTATTTAGATTTGGTTAGGCGGGAGTGCTTTGTGCGATTTAGCCATCGCTGCGTCAATGACAGTGCTTGTCAGTAGCCATTCCTTCGCACACTTACTCCCATCTCACTGTGCCTTTATCTTCGAATAGCTTCGACGCAGTGATTCTGGGATGCGCGCAACTCACGCATTATTATCAAAAATTATTCGATTGATAATTGAAACTGGCTCTTTGACAAGTGCTCCATCCAATATTCGTATCTGTCACCGTCTAGAGCCCTACTAAACTATCTCGGTCTTGTGCTCCCAGCTGTCATGGCAATTACCGAAGTGGCTGTCTTCTTTACCTTCCCCCAGCTGAACTACTACGTCTGCCTCTCTATTATCCGCGCTAAATTATACTCCAATTCTCTACTGGTGGTCTTCAACAACCGTATTCGTATCAATAGTCAAATGGAAGCGGATTCTGTCGTCATCTCGTGCGATAACTTAGGTAATAATACAATGCCCGGGTTTACCTCGCGAACAGCTTCGAGGACCCTTAACCCCACGATTATCCTAGGAGGCATCCGTGGTAAGGATGATACTTGGGCTAGTAATTTTCCGTTTCAATCAATTGTCAGAACCTCTTTGTTTTGCTTAACTAACTGAGTGCATATACTCACCCTTGTTATTTAGGATAAGCAAGCATCGTCATCACGAGACAGAGAATTAAACGTGGTCGGGACTTGCAACTCACAGGGCAATTCTGAGGGCTGAATCAAATGGTGAAAAGATCGTCCAGTTATATGCGTGATGAAAGTATTAACATATACTACCAGGAACCAGGACACCCGACAAAGTTCCCGTAAGGAATGTCGTAATGGAAGCGGAAATGAAGGAAGCAAAGCATTATGTATATGTACTTTCCGACGGTGCACGTTTAACGAATTGGAGTATAGATGAAATACTATTACGATCATTTCAGCCTTACTCGGACCAAAAGCACTGTCTCTTTGTCATGTGCTATGCTATTTGTTACCTGACGGCGCCAACAGTCAGTTGGGACATGCTCTGATGTGATCTGCTTGTAGTTGGCTGCGGAAGTAAATATGATGAAGGGTGAGAGCAGAGCAATCTTCCTATCATGATAGCCCAACAAAGTGCCTTGAAGGTCTCCGGATAGGGATTGTGCAGGATATCAAGCCAATCATGACAAGCATAATTACGCTTTTGGAGGTGCAGCTCCCTGCCAGTCGAATAATTCAGAGTGCATATATTCAATCAAGCTTACGATTGCTATCAAGGGTTCTATGCCACTCGTCTTGTAGGATTTTCCGTGAGTTGCACCTTTTGCAAATTTGTTTTGAAACACATACATAGATTGATATAGTTAATCAAACTTTGAACTTTCACACCTGTTCTTATGATGGAAACTCAGAGTTCGTTTCCTTCCTCGGTTGCATATTCCCATCCCTATACTGTTTCATGTGAATATCGCTACTAGATTGTCTCTTCCCATTGGATAGTGAAGTTCAAGCAGTGCTTGGTCTTTTCTCAGAACAGTATATAATGGCTTATCTCAATGGGCTCAAGTTCGCCTCAGAAGCGTTGACTGACAGTCCTTGTCTATGGCTACTACGGCAATTCCGTCGGATATAGCGAACATGTGAGCATGGAAAATACAACGGTTCAGTCTGAGAGTCTCTGCTGATATTTTACTTTCGATTTAGTGCTGGTCCAATAGTCTGTACTCAGCCGATGGATGTCTTGTGCTAACTAACACTACTTATAGCTATTAGCAATTTTCTTTCACTGGGGATTATTTGGAATTTTGACCGTTCAAGTCTGTAAGTTTTGCTTTAAAGTATTGGTACTCGCACAATCATTACTGCTGCTTGCATAATTCCTTAGAATGGCAAGATCACGTGATTTTTCGTCACAAAGTTGAAAAACACAAAGAAAATACAATATCTCACTCAATCCTTAACATAAATGTGTACTATTAGTACCTAAATTCATAATTTTAAAATCCCCTTCAGATAGATACTTTATTAATCAAATTTGAGTAAGAATTGTACTAAG